CTGCCTTTATCAGTAGAACAATTAGAGTTGAATTCTCCCTGGTGCAAAATAAAGGCTGTAGATGAGCTGAATGTGAATAATTCAGAGGAACGTTCTGCTCAGGTAATGCCTGATTTCCAGAAGATTTTTCAGTCTCCCTGACTCGAGGGCTCCTGGATGCACTCCGCTGGGTTCTTGTGTGCTTAGTGGTGTTACTGGGGGTCTGCAGGGCAAGGGAGCTGCATGGAGTGTCCCTGCAGGGCAGAAGGAATCGGGAAACAGCTCTCTGCTGAGTAATTCACCCTCTGTACAGGAGAGACTGAATCAGCAGAGCAAAACGGTCAGCCCAGCAGTGCTGCTGTTCTGCCCTGTTTTCCAGCCTGCTTAGTACTGGGGCACTGCCTACCACTGGCTTTGTAGTCGCGTTGTCACTGTTTAATAGCAGCCATCGATGAGACGCTGACATGTTTAGAAGAGAAATCAGTGCTTCTGACAGCAGCAGTTTGCTCAGTGACACCAGTGTTATGCAGCCTTCCTGGGGAAAGGTAGATCAAGCGTGAGGGGCAGGGATTCACGTGTCAGCACTTCCTCTCTTACCATGAGCATTTGGGGGTTGGCCTTTTCTGCTTGTTTTAAAGCCTGTCCTGTGAAAGGAGTGAATGTATGCTAGAGAGGAGATGAAAGCAGGGAGGGCATCCTAAAATAGACACAGTTCATCAAGAAGTGTGAGCCTGTCCCAGAAGGAGAGATACAGCTGGTGGAATGTCAGCTGCCTCGCTGCTCCCCTGTTCAGATGCTTCACCAGAAAATCCTGCATCTTTTCTTGTTTGTTTATCAGGAGTCCTTTGCTCTGTGTACAGCTCTGCACTTGCTGTCCCAATCCCCTGGTTCATGCTTGTTTCCTGAGCACTGCAAGGAGCGTTGCCCCTGGCACGTAGCTGCTCTTTCTGAAGCAGAGTGTGTTCTTTGAAAAGCCAGGTGTGTTTGGCAGCTAGAGGAATGCCTCTGTGGCCTGGTGGGGGAAACAGCCGGCACAACAGACAAAGCACTTGCAGTGAAGTTGCCAAGATGTGCTCTGGCTGCATGGGAGAGAGGAATAGCTCAATTAATGGCTGCAGTCTAGAAATAAAAACTACTCGTTCAGGCCTCTTGAAATTCACACTTGAGCTGGACTTGTTAGGCCACAGCAATGCTGCAGCGTCGGGACCTGGCGGAAGGAAATCCAGAAATTGATTACATTTTCTGTCGAATGTATGATTGTATATGAACAGGAAAATGGGGAGCTACCATAGAACCACAGAACGGCTCAGGTCGGAGGGCAGCTCAAAGCCCACCCAGTGCCACCCCGGCCGTGGGCAGGGCTGCCCCCCACCAGCTCAGGCTGCCCAGGGCCCCATCCCACCTGGCCCTGAGTGCCTGCAGGGATGGGGCACCCACAGCTCTTTGCTTTCCTTTTTCATTTGCTTAGCACTAGTATAATTCAAACCAGAGAAGAAACAGTCAGGCAGGATACGCAGCACAGGCCAGAAGTTTGGGTAGCTTTCATCTTGGCTTTTTAACTTACTTGGAAGTGATTGTCGATTTCCTATCCTCAACGTATTGGAGCAGGATTGTTTTAATACATGTAGCAACCTTGGTTTTTCTTGTGCTCATGTACAGAATGGTTGAAGTTGGAAGGGAACTTGTGGAGATCATCTGTTCCAACCCTGTGCTAAAGCTGTTCCACCTGAAGCATGTTGTAAGCTGAAAGGATTTAGGGAACAAGAAATGAACAAGAAGTATGCCTACAAAAGGAGGCCATTTAGTCCTTGTTGCGGTGAACCTAATAAACCTTTAGCCTTTTATTATATTTGGTTCTTTGTATTTGCAGCTCTGTCTGGGAGTGAATTATACTGAAGTAGTATGGTTGAGAGGAATTAGATTAGCCAGCAATAAAACAGGCTGAATGCAAGAGCTGAAAGGGCAACGTGCGCTTCATTGAAAACAGCAGGGAGAGAGAGACTGCCCTCAGACAAAACATATGAGTTAAATAAAGATGTCCTAAGGGAGATCTCAAAGGCCTAAGAATTATTTTCATTTCTTTCTGGAATTATTATCTAACTTGGATTATTTTTAAGTGATTCTTTAGGGATGGGGCTGCAGTCAGTTGCAGGGAGCATAGAAGTGCAGCATCTTTTGCTGAGTCCAGGTTACAAGCAAACAGGTAATAGATGATTCACCCAGAAGTGTTAATCATAGACTCAGCAAGGTTGGAAAACACCTCTGAGATCACCCAGTCCAACTGTCTGCCTATCACCACTATTTCCCCAACTAAACCATGTCCCTTAGTACCAGGTCTAAATGTTTCTTGGGCACTCTAGGGACGGTGACACCATGACCTCCATGGGCAGCCCATTCCAATGCCCAGCCACTCTTTCCTAACATTCAGCCTGAACCTCCCTCGGTGCAACTTGAGGCCATCTTTCCATGCGGGGGAATTATTTCTGCTGCCACAAACAAAAGCACAGTCCTAGCCTATAAGTCAAGAGTTGATGATCTCCTGTGAGAAGACAGCAGAAGAGACCAAAATATTGCTACTGCTTTTCAGTAGGACAAAGTAAGGGGAAGTGTGCCTGGATTAAGTTGGAAGCAAGCTTCAGCCACTCCTGTAAAGGCAGAAAGGACCAGTTGTCAGTGGTTGTTGTCAGTGTTTTGGAGATTTCTTTCTTAATGCAGGCATGCTCTGGCTGCTGTAGATATCCATCTGGGGTTCACTGGCTGTTTGGACTTGGGATTCTGCCTGGAAAATGCTGCAGAGAACCCAGAGTATGCCAGTGACTCCCAACCATGACTGATGGTTGGGCTTGTAAGAATGTGGTATCGGAGCAAGAAGTCAACTCCAGAGCAAAGAGAATGGCTGTACAGTGCTGCCAGAACAGGTTTGTGAGCCAGTTCCAGTCAGTGTTCAGGGGTGTGCTTAAAGGCTGTGTGCCATCACTGCTCCCAGTGTTGTACTGTGGGCAGGGATTTGAAGGGAAATCGGTGCTTTCTGTATCGTTTGATGTGGCTTTATGTTGAGCTGGAAGTGACTCTGAATGTTTGCAGGTTTCCCAGGGGTCTGTGGCACTATCTGCTCAGATACATACTGATAAAGTGCCAAATGTGCTCCACCCAATGCTCTTCTGTCAGATGAGTTGGAATCCTGGCCAAGCTTCTTTGCTGAAGACAGCTGCTGTTGTCTAAACCCCTTCTGTGTGCTCCTTTCTTTGCAGCCTCTCTACAAGTGGATATTGTTCCCAGTCAGGGAGAGATCAGCGTTGGAGAATCCAAGTTCTTCTTATGTCAAGGTGAGTGCTGGCTTTTGGCATGGGGTGTCTGCACGTCTGGGTTTGCTGGGAAGGCCAATCTGCATGTTAGGTCTGAGATAAAAGCTCTGCTGCTTAGTCAGGCTGTAAGGTTTCTCGCTTTCTTTCTCATATGCCCTCAGATTTGGTAAGACTGAAGTATAAAAGGCAACGTGTGGTGTTTGCTGGGAAGACTAAAAACACTCCCTTGAGAGCTGGCAGCAGAAAGCAGCTCCAGGAAACAGCTTTTAAAATGCAAAAAGAAACAAAACAGCAAATGAAGTGTTGCCTCTGTGCTGGAGCAATAGCCACAACAATTTGCATCGTTCCACAGCTCTTTGGTCTTTTGAGTTTAGAATTAAGCTTGATTTTTGGTTGTTAATTTTTTTCCAAATTATATGTCTAGCCCATTGCTAAGAGCAGCAATGGGAGCACCAGGTCACTTGAGAGTCACCACCGCAGCAACTAAGGATTTTAATGCCGCTGAAAATCTTCTTTTTCTGTGACAAAAGTTAGTGTTTGTGCAGCTCCCTTACTGCACCGTGTGCTGCAGTGCTGGCACATTCCCTGTGCCCCAAAGTGCTTTTTTCAATTTGATGATGTTTTTCAAATTAGTACTTGTCCTGTTCAAAGCAGCTGGCCTGGTTTCTGATGGGAGGAGCTGCTGTGTTGGCACCCCAATGTGATAGCATCCTGGGGCATGCCATATAGCTAACAGGTGATCAGTGAGCTCTGGGAGCAAAATGCCATCAGTTCCTCAAGAGCATACCAACAGGAGCAACAGTGAGGTTGTCTGATCCAGGGATGCTTCACTGCAAGGGAATTAGTTGATGCCAGAGCTTCAAAAGCAAAAGCATACTCTGAATAAGTGCTGTTGTGATGATGCATACCTTCAGAAAAGTCTGAGATCAGTTAAAGCCCCTGCAGTAATAGGAACCTGTCCCAAATAATGGAGCTACGTGGGGGAATGCAGAGGGATGAGCTGCAAGAGAGGGGCAGCCTGCAACCAATTAGTGACAATAATTGCTTACCCTGAATGCAGTAGAAGGTTTAACCTGATGAGCACCAGAGCTGCTGCTACAGGAAATCACAATTTTGATACATAAAGCAGCAAATGCACATGTCTACCAAAAATATAGCAGAACTGGAGCAGGAAGACATGGTTTGTTTTTTTGCTCTCAAGCTGCCCAACGTGGGGCTGACACAGTGGAGGAGCTGGGACATAAAATTCCAGGATGCATGGAAGGCCATTCTGAAATGAAATGAAATGAAATTGTTCCCCTTTAGATTTCAAGAAACAGCCTAATGTCACTTTTGCATAATAGCAGCTGACCATTCACAGCACTGGGAGAGAATTTTCTCTGTTTGCTTCTCAGGTACCAGAAGCTCTTCTTCCCTTGGGTCGGTTTTTCCACAAAGTGCTGGTTGTATTCCGTATACTGTATACTGTATTCTGTGTACTGGTTGTATTCAATTCCCTACTGGTTGTATTTAGTTTCCTTTGTGCTTGTTAGTTGGGAACTCACTTCATCTGCTTTGTTTTCTTTTATTCTCTGCAGTGGCAGGGGAAGCCAAATACAAAGACATTTCCTGGTTTTCCCCTAATGGTGAGAAGCTGACGCCCAACCAGCAGCACATCTCAGTGGTGCGAAACGACGACTTCTCCTCCACCCTCACCATCTACAATGCCAACATTGATGATGCTGGCATCTATAAATGTGTTGTCAGCAGCGTGGAGGAGGGAGACTCTGAAGCCACCGTCAATGTGAAAATTTTCCGTAAGAGAACAACTCCAGGGCTACTTTCTGGGTATCCCTGGACGTATATGAGGCAAGATTAGGCAGGGGGAGACACCTTACCTTCCTACCAAAGGCTGTTATTGCTGAAGGGGAGAAATGAGGTTCAAAAGGGAGCGTTAAGAAGATTCTCCTCCTTCCTTGGTTTTGAGGAGGATGTGAATGTTGAGACCTTTGCTTGTCAGGTTTTTACCAGCTTGTCTATTGCTTAAATTCTTCTGAAGGATAAGAGAGCAAAAGGCAGAAGGAGAAGATTCTAGTGCATCATAAATGTGTAGGAGGAGGAAGCATAGATGGCAGCTTCCGTGGGTGACAAACACACTGTGAGAGCTGGGCTGTTGCTTCCAAGTTAAATGGGGTTCTGATGTTGCAGTGCAGTGTGTTGAGTCAAGTGCAGCTGTATCCTCCTCTCTGGGGCATGCAGGTTTCCACAGAACAAGCCCTCTGGGGTTTCATTGCTTTTTTTCAAGCTGGATTTGGGTTGAGTTGGGAACACAGCTTGATGTGTGCTGAAAAAGCTGCAGCAACTTATTCCTTCCATTGCTTTCAGAAAAGCTCATGTTCAAGAATGCCCCCACTCCTCAGGAATTCAAGGAAGGGGATGATGCTGTGATTGTGTGTGATGTGGTCAGCTCGCTGCCTCCTACCATCATCTGGAAACACAAAGGCAGGGATGTCATCCTGAAAAAAGATGGTAAGATGCAAGATGTACTGGTGCTTGTCCATTTAGGGGTCAAATATCCATCTCCCAGCAGGCTCATGCTGTCTTGTTCTCCTGTACCCCTTGTACAGTCACAAGGAAGAAAGGGAAGCCATTTGGATGTTACCCAAGGGCTTAGGATGTGAACATCGTTATTCCAGGTGCTCTGATTTGGGAATGGTAGGAATATAATGTTCCCACGGAGATGACCATCAGGCTTTGATGCTGCAATAAAAATGCTAGAAGCATTTTTTGGATTTAAAAAACAAAAACAAAACCATCAGAACAGAAAAGCTGTATGTTGTGATGCTCTGCTTTACAGTATTTCTAAGGAAACTGCTGAGAGCTCCTAGCAAGTGTTTCCCTTTCATTCAAAATGCTACAGACCTTCTTTCCCAGAGTGGCATTTCACTGGCAGTGAGGAGTCCAGTGCCTGCCTGCAGCTGAGCACTGGTACCTCAGCTCTCTTTCCAACATCAGCTTCTTACAGGCACAAGGGAACTGTAGTAAGATTCAAACTCTTCCCTCACTCAGCAAGAGGGGCAAGGTTTAACATGATTCTTGTTTGATATTAATTGAATGCAATGTTTGTGTATCTTTATCACTGTACTTTGAGTATAAAACACAGAGCAGTTTGTCTGCTACCTCTGTCTCATTTCTTTGTTGGTAATGTCAGATCTGATTGCAGCATCTCCATTTTAACGTGATGTGAAAGGAAGTTTCATTGCATTCAGCCTTCCCTCCAACTCAGGAAGGTTGAGGGGAGGTGAAGAACCTGTTCCGTGCAGTGAGCTTTCCCAGGGATCTTTGGATGAACCTTCCTTTTCTCTCTTCCAGTTCGGTTTATAGTGCTGTCCAACAACTACCTGCAGATCCGGGGAATCAAGAAAACAGATGAGGGGACGTACCGCTGTGAGGGCCGCATCCTGGCTCGTGGGGAGATCAACTTCAAAGACATTCAGGTCATTGTAAATGGTGAGTGGCACAGAGTTGAGAGCAATAAGTGACAAAGAGCTGCACCGTCTGCGCTCCAGACTGCCGGTGGAAATGTTATCCACATTCACACACACAGGTTACTGTCTATCAGCTTACTAATCTTTCTCTGCTATGTCAAATAAAAGCATCCATGGTTACCAAATGTGTACTGGAAATGATCAAATCCAGAGTAAGTTTAAGTGCCTAACAACTTCGTGAGGTGTTGAGGCTTACAAGTGGTTTTGTCGACAGCACAGATTTTCTGTGCATCTCTCCATCCTCACACCAGTTGCTTTGGAGAGCTCATACATCAAACCTGACAGTTGAAACCTGCATGTGGCAGCTGAAAGGGTTTGAATTGCTAGTGACATCTGTCTATATTGCTGAGATTTAGTTAGACTTCCAGGCCTCATTCTTGCTCACATCTTCTGTCTCCCCTTTCTAACTTCAGTGTGGTTTCCTTCTCTTCTAGTACCTCCTTCTGTGCGTGCCAGGCAGAGCACTATGAACGCCACTGCCAACCTCAGCCAGTCTGTCACCTTAGCATGTGATGCTGATGGCTTTCCTGAGCCAACCATGACGTGGACAAAGTAAGATGTTGTATGCAGTGTCCTGATTCTTTGTGAGCATGGATGTTTTCAATAAGGCCCTGGAAAACCAGGCAGGAGGGGAAACCTTTTAACCGCAATGACATGAATCCATTTTTCTCCCAAGAGAAGGAATGACCTCCTAGCAGGGAATTGCAGTTAGTTTTGGTTGTGAGTTAATGTTGATAGGCAGCGAAGCACCACACAGCAGCTCTTCCTTCCCACTGTTGGGAAGAGGTGGAGATACCTCTGACATTGAGTTTCAGTGTAGTAATGCAGTTCTCATTAACATGAAACCTCACAAGCAGCATTTGACTGCTTCTCCTCCCCATCACAGCCAGTGTGCTTTGTGCCCTGCAGGGATGGAGAGCCGATAGAGCAGGAGGACAATGAAGACAAATACAGTTTTAACTACGATGGGTCTGAGCTGATCATCAAGAAGGTGGATAAGAGTGATGAAGCAGAGTACATCTGCATTGCTGAGAACAAGGCTGGCGAGCAGGATGCCACCATTCATCTCAAAGTCTTTGGTGAGCTTTTGCCTGTTCAGAAACCCTCTTTTCCCCTCATGTTGCTTGTTTCAGATGTTGCTGTTTACAGGCGGGTTTCATTCTGAACAGCAACTGAATGAAGGTTGTTTTTATTTTTCTTTCCAGCAAAACCCAAAATCACGTACGTGGAGAATAAAACAGCGATGGAGCTGGAGGACCAGATCACATTGACCTGTGAGGCATCTGGGGACCCAATCCCTTCCATCACGTGGAAAACCTCCACCCGGAACATCAGCAACGAAGAGAAGGTACCACCACTCCCAAGACTCTTTTGGGCAGGGGTCAGTGCTGCATGATGGCAGCAGGCACATGGAGATCATGGTGCTTCCCCCCTCCATAGTGAGAATGCTTGCAATCCTGCACAGAGTAACTGCTGGAGGCCAGCTCTGTAGCTGAAGTAATCTCATGGGTGTCCTTTATACAAAGAGCAATCACAGTTTGTAACAACTGAGACTATGCTGTTTAATTTCTGCTTGCATTGGTCTGAGCTGAATTGATTTACAAAGCATGAAGCCCTGGACCCTTCTTGGAGGAGTTTTGTGGTGGACAAAGAGATACAGGACTTCTGAAAGGGTTTCCAAGCTGAGACATGGGAATGAGCACCCTGATTCCAGTGTTGTCCATGCTGTCATCATGAAGATGATTTCACTGGGGAGAGTGGCAGGTGAAAAGGTGTGGGATATTCTTTCAAAAATGCAGTGGACCAAAATGAACCTGTTAATTCATTCTTGCTCTTCTTTATTGTGCTAACTCTACACGTACTTGAAGCACAAAAGCCTGGCTGCCTTTATGTTCACTTGTTTTGTGGATCACATCAAAACCATTTTGTTCTTAAAAGGCAAAAATAATTAGCAGTTTTTCTCTTTTAGAAGGGTGCCGTTTCATTTGTTTTGTTATTGCTGGCCATAATTCCCTTTTACCAGAGAAGATTAGAATGCACTTTGTTACTCTGGATATTACATAATAGTTATGTAAGAAGTTGACTAGGAGCCATAGTAGAGCTGAAGAAAGCTTAGACACGAGTTAGAGTAGGGAGTTGCTGCTTATTAACGGTCTTATAATGACAGGATGCTTCAAGGCTCAGCTCACATGGGAATATCAGGGGGTCTGACTTGGTATGAAGGTAGCAGCTGATAGCCTGGAAGTCTCAGAGGCAACGGCTGTCAGTCATTTAGAGGTAACCGCTCTTAGTCATCCACATTCTGCTCCACTGCCTCCTAAATGAGCTTTATGTATTGCCCCTGTGATGTCAGCTCTTCACTGTGTTAACATGGAACTTTTTCAATCAGGGTGCCCTCTGCAGAGAAATGTTAGTATCTTCTGTATTCAGGAGTTTGTGTAGATTAGGGAGCATTTCAGGAGAGATTCCTGTTGCCTTTGAAAGCTCTCGGCTTGGTCTCTTAGCACAGCATGACTGGGGGACCTGTTTCAATAAGACAAGGCTATTTGTGGTCTTTTCTCAGTCTAGAAGGGTGATGGGAGGAGTTAAATGCCTCCTTTGCTTCCAGCACTGGGGTTTGGATCACAGCCAGGGAGAAGAGCTTTGTCAGGGAGAAGAATATGAGACCTGAAATAAGGCTCAATGGAGTAGAAGTCTGTAGGAGCGCCTGTTTGCAGGGAGTCCTGTCTGCCAAGCCTCATTAAGCTAACAAGACCTCAGTGGCAAAACTGCTAACCATTTTTGAGACTCATATATTGTATATCCTTTTTAATGCAGTTAAATCAGTGATCAGTGTTAAAGAATGACGTTACGTGTTCTGGTAATATCTTAGTGGATGGGGAGAAAATCAAAGGTTTGAGGTACCACCGTGTTGTTCATGTATGGATTCAAACCTTTAGGGCAAAGATTTGCTGTCATACAACATTCATTTTCTAGGCAGGATTTTCTTCCCTCTCTCTCTCTTTTTTTTTTTTTTGTTATTGCTGTTTTCTTCTTTAATTTACACTTTTTCCCATTCTGTGGGTAAATGGTACAGACTTCCAGAAAATTCTCAGGACAAAATAGCTCTGTTGGACATTCCATGCTGTGTACAGCCTTTGTGATGCTCTTTGGTTGTGAATGTAGAAATGCATTATTTAGGAGAAGCTTTATCCCTGTCTGAAATTCTTGTTTATCCCTACTGCAAAAGATAGCAAGAGCTATAAGCCATAGGAGGTCATTAACATAAAGTCAAGCCATTTAAAGTCATTTTATCTTTCCTCAACTAATTTTGCTGTGCCGTTGTGGGGAGGAAGAATGTGGGGTTTTTTTTGTTACCAGATGTAATGCTGAGTAAGCCAGTATGCCATATTCCTCATCACCTCCACTACATTTCCTCCCCTTGTAAAAGAGGTGTCCGTGAGCATAGTTTGGATCTGTAGTACGTTGGTGTTCCTAAGTTCTAAGATTTCCGTGGCAGCAGCTGTACCTGTGGGGTGAGCCTCCCTGGCCTGCCGTGCCAGCTGTCAGTACCTGCATCACATTACTGTTTTCACAGTAGCAACTCGTCCTTCCCAAATGGAAGGGAAGATGTGTGAGTTTCTTGATTCTCCTCTAGGGAACCCGCATTGTACAGATTGGAGCTTGTATGTCTCTTGGCCTTGGTGAGGAAGGGTTAAGATAAAAACTCTTTGAGATGGAGGCTCCGGTTCTGCCTTCTCCCCACACCCACCAGCCCCAGTACAAAGAAGCAGCAAACTGGGGGAATGTGGGAACTGGCTTCTTCCCTCCTTCATCTTCCTGGAGCCTGACACGTGCTGCACACCACAGGGAAACGGCACGTCTGTTCTTTTTACACCTCTGTGCTGGTGCTATAGAACTGCATTGGAGAGAACTGAGAGGAGACTTGCATGGACATCAGTGAGGTCCTGACTGGTTCTGGTAGTGACTGGTACATGAAAAGGGAATGATGCTGAATCCTGATGATGATTGCCTGTTCGGTTTTCAAGGAACTTGTGCACAAGAGGATATAGATACATAGAAATTATGAGATATGGAGTTTCTGGGCAGATCCCCAGCCCACATGTGTGTTGGTGAGCTTTGTTTTTTCCATTGGAGAGTCCACCTCAGGCCTCTAATCAGAAGTAAATAGCCTGCTTTTGCCAAAGACTTCATAGAACTGTCTGTACCATTTGTTAGTACTGAAGTCTCATAGTTTTCACTGCAAGCACTGTGGAAATAATACTGTGCTTTTTCTCCTCATTTCCTTAACTTTCATCTCCATGTCTGTAACATCACTCTTGTGTACGCCGTTTTATCCACATGCCAGCAGTGCTTGTGCCTCACATTCAAAAATGCTGTTGTGACTGTGATATTAGCAGGTGATTTTTGACTCCTGAATTGAAATGGATCAAGTTGTGATTGAAATAGACACTAGAAGAGAAAAAAAAACACATTTGAAATTCATAGGGAAAAAGGAAACTCTGTGACTTTGGTCGTTGTGAACCAGAGTGAATACGGTCCACAGTGTTGCTGTCTGTCTCTGAATGGCAGTGTATGTTTCTTGGTAAGGTTTGTGCATGTTTGACTGATGCCTGTTTGCTTAATTGTCCCAAGCCCAGCAAGGACTGGGTGCACGTAGCCCTAAGCCTGGTGAGCTGGGTGTGATGAACTGGAGGTGGGGCTCAGACTGTTGCTCTGCAGCTCGAGGGCTCCCACTCCTCACACAGTGTGCATGTAAACCCATACAAATGCATGAGCACATGAACCCACAGTGGTTAATTGCAGTCGGTGTGTCCAGGTGGCAACCAGCTCAATAGCTTATCTTCCAATTAAGTGACCCTGGTTATCAGGATTATTTCCCTTGGATACGTAGCTGTGTTTCCAGAAAGGATGAGATGTGACAAGGGAAATAGTCACTCAGTATTTAAGAATAGAGGCAGACAAAGGGTTTAGGTATTGTTAGATCAATTTTGAGGATATTGAATTTTGAATGCAAGTCTAAATGCAGGTTCTGTTGGGAAATGGAAATTGCAGTCACCCCACACACGAGATACACAGCTTGGAGCCTGCATGCGCACAGACGTAGCGTGATGCTGATACCTGAAAGCAACCTTTGATAAACTTGTATTGCTTTTTTTTCTCCTGTTGTTGTGTTCTATATCTGTTCTCTCCAGGCTTCGTGGACCCGGCCCGAGAAACAAGAGGTATAATCTTATACCAGACCTTTAGCAAACTTCCTAGTTGTTTTTATTTTTGTTTGTTTTTTAAGCATTACAGATTAACAAATCTCTAGTCCAGCAACCACGCCAACTAAACCAGCATTAATAATACAAATAAATTAAGTACCGGTACTGAAGAGAAACAGCTAATAGTGTTAGAAGTTGCTTGGCACGTAGTTCTGCATCTCTGGATGAGCAAACTGGCTGTGTTGGGAGTGAGTAATCCTGGTTGTCACTTCAAAAAAGGACAAAAAGTGCCGGGGGAGGGAGAAGAAAGGGAAGGCAAATCTGCAGCCTGACAAATACAGCTTCGCCATTTCCTTCAGTCTGCAAGTGTGGGTCATGCCTCTGTTCTGGAGTTTTAAGAGTTAGCAGCTGTGTGTATTGTGGGATGGTACCTTTTTTCTGAGATAGCCTCTTCTGCTCCAGCCAACTCATCTGTTTGCTCATGGCACCTCTTCAGTTTGGCCTCCTCTTAGAGGATAACTGCATCGTATTCTGTTTCAAAATCAATGCAATTAAATCTCTCCAAAGTTATATTTTTTCCAGAAAATGCTCCCACTTACTGAATCATTGTCACTTGCCTTTAATTTTCAAGGGTCAGTGAAGGGGAACAGGAAAATACAGTATGGTGTGTTGCTGTTTTGTTTCACATTCATTACTGTGTTGTAGAAATAATAATCATCTGCCATTAAGTGCACCTCATTGCTTTCACTCATAAAAACACTGGATGCTTAAAAACTCAGTTAAAAGCAAAATTGTACCTCAGTTACATCCCTGATCGGCGATGCCTTCCTGCTAACTGGGTATTAGCTCAGCTTTGCAAATATGAGGAGCTGCAGATGAGTTAGTGAAATGCAAGCGCAGAGCTGGGAGAGGACACCTCACTTTCTGTCCCTGGAGTTTGTGGCTGTGGTCAGGATTTCCAGGGGCTGTTCTGTAATGACCTCTCCTGTATGGAAAGTGGGCAAGCAAGGCTGTTAGATTGGCATGGATGCTTTGGCTTGTGAAAGGATTGAAAAATCCTACAGAGGGGAAGGGGGAAGGTGCATTCCCTGCCTGTCTCATCTGTTCCCCCTTGTCACTGAAGTATTAACGTCTACTCCAGTTGCTGATGCAATGGCGTTGTTGGAATTTGAAGAAAAACACCTTTGTGCACCTCAGCACAACCTGTAGCACTCAGCAATGAGGAACACCGTCACACACTTCTCTGGAGAGAAGAGTGGTACCTGCAGTCATAGAACTGTAGAATGGCTTAGGTTGGAGGGGACCTTAAGGACCAGCACCCAACTCCCTGCCTTGGGCAGGGCTCCCCCAGCAGCTCAGGGTGCCCAGGGCCCCATCCATGGCCTTGCTGTGGTGTGAGTTGTTGCCTGTGTCTCGTAGGTTGTCCCACCACTATGGGAAACATTGCTATGCAAAATTGTGTAAGTCAGGGCAGTTGGGTGAAGGGATTACACGTGCCCACAGCTCTGGCTCACAGGTTTCTACCTACCCCATGTCTCTAATAGCCAGGGATTGCCGGTATCTGATGGTCAGAAATAGAAATGAAGAGAAGCAGTAGCGTGATTTCTTGCGTGGAGATTATTCTCCTTGAATATTTTTCCCTAATCTTCCTTTTCCTTTATACATGCCTTTTGTACTAAGATATACAGCCACATCTTCAGGATCGGTTATATTTCTGGTTAAGTTATTCATTTATCTGAACTGCCTGGCACTGTTTCTGTTTGTATTGAATCCTGGAGAGGCAGGTGGCACGGCGTAAAGTCATCTTTGCTGCAGCGATCGTGGGCTGCTGTTTTGCTATAGGTGTAGTTACACTCTTGCCTGATTGAGTCAGAGGCCAACAGAATGGTCACCTGAGTCGTGAGCTAAAAGAAGGCGAGGAAACTGCAGGTCTGAAGTCTTTACGTTCATGGATCCTACTGCAGTAGTTTCAGAAGTGAGCTGGATTTTGGCTGTGTAAGATACACAGTTATGGGACCCTTCACCACTTCTAGGAAATGTGTTCTTGAAATAAATCACAGTTTCCAGCAATACAAGGGACCAAGGACAGAAGAGGGCATAGAGTTTGTATCTTGTGGCATTGGCTATAGTGGACCTGTGTGCGTGGTAGAAGAGATGCACATACTAACTGCTTTTGTGTCGAAAGGTAATAACTTTCTTCATTTGAAATTTGGCTAGCTCAAATGGACTAATGGACTAGTATTCAGAGCCAGCAGAGGTAGCACCTTGTTCTGTGTAGAAGCTTAGTCTCGCAGCTGTAGGCCCCCAGCTCCGAGCAGAGGGATGCTTCAGGCCTGCAGGATCACCTGAGGTATCAGAAACACATTTGGTGCTACAACTCAGTGCCTGTCCGTGTGATTTCCTCAAGCTGTATCCTCATAATCTCAGCACTTGTCTCACATCCTTCAAGAAGCAGCGTGCTCTTGGAGCTCTGATGGTCTGAAGAGTGGCAGCAGGGTGCTCAGTTTGTTGGAAACAGGATGAGAAAGCTTGTCCTTTAAAGCTTCCAAGCTGACCACATTAGCACAAGGATCAGCGTGGAGGGTGTTTGGGTTGGATCCCTAAGTGGCTGCAATCCCTTTGAACAGATGACAGCCTGGATTTTACATTCCTTTCCTCTCATTGTTGTCCCTGCACTCTCCTGCTTGTGGGAGCAATTTCTGAACTAGCTTCCAATCAACAGAGTTTGCTCTAGAACTTTCTTAGAGCATCACAAGAACTTGAAGCAGGCTGTCTTTAGAAGGGTCCCATAGTTTGCTTGTCCTGCTCTCTGTACCTTGCTCTGTTTGGTGCTGTGCTCAAGTGAAAGCTCTGAGCTTTCATTTTGCCTGATTCAGCTCTGAGGTTTGGATCTGTTCTTACTAATGCCACTTAATGGATGCTGAAATAAAACAGGTATCAGTGAGAGAAGTCTCAAATTCTCTGAGTGAAAATGGTACTAGTTACACAGGTTTTTTGCAAAAGCATCCTGGCAAAACTGCTTTAACCAGAGCTGGATCTCCGCAGTTGTTAATCTAAGAAGCAGCTTGATGTTATCCAGCTGTCCTCAGTCGTGTAGCAGCATCTGATACTTCAGTCCTTCATTTCTTTTTGTTCCCGTTACCTGAGTGCTTTGATATGCTCTGTTCAGTCCTGCGCAACAAGGCTGAGCTGCTTTAGGAAGTGCTGTGCCCGTGGTTTCACCTGCCAGGTGATGGCTTCCAAGTGCTGAGCACTGGAGGGCTGCTGTGAGGTAGATTTGTGTTTGTCCCTGAGCTGCAGCGCTGCCCAAAGCCCAACCCCTGACTCTCAATTCCTTTCCTGCCAGACCCTGGATGGGCGCATCGTGGTGCGCAGCCACGCGCGGGTTTCGTCCCTGACTCTCAAAGAAATCCAATACACAGATGCTGGAGAGTACGTGTGCACAGCCAGCAACACCATCGGGCAGGACTCGCAGGCCATGTACCTGGAAGTGCAGTGTAAGTGGGTGAGGGGCAGGGCGCGGGATAGGGGCGGGTGGGCAGGGGGGGAGGATGTTTTCTGATGAGGTGGAGGCACCTACGAGTAGGGAAATCTGTGTTATTGTTGTTGTTATTATAAGCAGAGGGCATGGGAAGCAGCTCAGTCTGAAATAATGCTGTTAGAGTTGCATTTTGCTGTGTGCACACGTGCAAATGGTTGCACGAGTTGACTCCAACTGAGGCACTGTTTGCATCCTGGGAAGATCATGGGCCGTGAATCTGCCATGGGCTCATTCATGGAGCGTATCAACGTTGCACTTCCCCAGGCATGTTGCTTGCTGTCTGCTTGTCCTCCCACTCTGCGTGAGGGACAGCCTTTGGTTCTGGGCAGACTTCTTCCTATGTCCTTCAGCAAAAGACCACCACCACCAGCAGCCCCCTGGGAGAGAGGGCTGTCTCCTATCCCCACGTTAGGTTCCTTCTCCCACATCAGCCTGGATCTCAGCCAAGGAGTTCTTGCAGTGAAGTTGGCTGGGCTCCTTCAGGAGTTTTTCTTGGTTATGTTGCCTTCACAAGAATGTTTCTTTCAGATGCTCCCAAGCTTCAGGGCCCTGTGGCCGTCTATACCTGGGAAGGGAATCAAGTGAACATCACCTGTGAGGTATTTGCTTACCCCAGTGCTGTCATCTCCTGGTTCCGGGATGGACAGCTGCTCCCCAGCTCAAACTACAGCAACATCAAGATCTACAACACTCCATCAGCAAGCTACCTGGAGGTGAGGAAAAGCACTAAGGGGAGAAGGGGATGTGCACCAGGAAGGCTCAGTGCTACCAAATAATGTGTTTCTGTTGATGAAGCCCAGTCTTTCATCAGGGTGCCCTGTTAGTGGGCAGCAGGCTGTGGCATTTCTGGCACACAAATGCAAAGGACATCAAGTCATGGCAAACACCACCCCCTCTCCTTGTTTTTGACTTTCTGCTCACTGTAGTTCTCTCATCTTTGGGCAGCCCTCTGTGTCAGCACATGAATTTTATTATTGCTTCATTCCCCAGTAAAACGCAAATGGCATTAGCAGAATGAAAAGTGCCTTCTGATCCAAACATGCACTTCAATTTCTTCTGTAGGTGACACCAGACTCTGAAAATGACTTTGGGAACTACAACTGCACTGCTGTGAACCGCATTGGCCAGGAATCCTCAGAGTTCATTCTTGTGCAGGCGGGTGAGCATCCCAGGCAGGGAGATAAGGAAATGCTACTCTTCAGGTTGTCCTTTTTTCTTAAAGGAAATATTTCATTTTGGAGAAAGCACTTTGAGTCTCTGACCTCTTAGAGAAGACACAAGATTAAGGTTTCTACACTGTCTAATTAGTATTCTTAAAAGTTCTTTGAGGACTGTCACAGGCTGCCGTTGTCCTCTCCTTTATCAAGCCATGACTAGAGTGTTCTTGGTGTTCCTAGTTTTCTGCTTTCTCTGCCAGGTTGGGAGCTGGTAGCCCTTGCTTCCTGCTGTCTGATGTGTCACTGGTTGTTTCCCCTTCCTCCCCCAGATACTCCGTCCTCTCCTTCTATTGACAGAGTTGAGCCCTACTCTAGTACTGCCCGCGTGGAGTTTGATGAGCCTGAAGCTACTGGTGGGGTGCCCATCCTCAAGTACAAAGCAGAGTGGAGAGCACTGGGTGAAGGAGAATGGCACTCGAGATTGTATGATGCAAAAGAAGGTAAGGTGGTAAAGCAATATAAAAAAAAAAAAGTTACCTTCTTGATCTGCATCTCAAAACATCCCTTCTTTCCTTCGGGGGAAAGCTAGCGTGGAGGATTCTATAGCTTTGCAATTTCAGCAATTTCATTGAGGCCCCACACCAGTTCTTTAACATTTGTTTTTCAGTAACAGCTCAGTAGAAGCAGAGTGATGATTCCCTTTGGTGTCTACTGTGAGCTCCACTACATCCCCTCTAGAAAGGCTGTGGCTCTGTCCCTCCCTAATCAATTCTTTCAAACAGAAATGGTAGATCTGACCTTTCTCCTTGTCTTCACTGTTTATGTGGCTTTGTTCGTGGTCTAAATGTGTCAGGAGTGCAGTAGGAACATGGCATTGATGACTTGACTCAGAGCTTGAGTGTTTCTTTGCTTTTTCTCTCTCGTTTCTGCAACAGCAAATGTGGAGGGCACAATCACTATCAGTGGCCTGAAACCTGAGACAACCTACTCGGTGAGACTGTCTGCAGTCAATGGCAAGGGTGTGGGTGAGATTAGTCTGCCATCCGACTTCAAGACACAGCCAGTTCGTAAGTAACACTGAGAATCTCTCTCTGCTTTTCTGGTTTCTCTCTCCTTGCATTTTCCAAGGACTCTGTCATGCATGGACAATGCCTTCTCCTGCAGACCTTGCTGCACCCTTTGTTTTTGTTGTGTTTTTTGAGTGTAGTGAATTTCCTCGCTAATTAAAAATCTTATTTAAAGGTGAGAGGCAGGGAAGTTATTCACACTGGTCTGTGCCCTGGGTTATAAGGATAAGCTATATTCTGTCAAATAGAAGGGGCTATGTGATGGAGAGTTGTAATAAGAACAAGCAGCAATTTGAGAAAGGCATGGTAATAAAGAATATGAGGTTCCTTGCAAATTAGAAATCAGTAAGTTCAACAAAGGAGCCTCCATGAGCAATGAAGGAAAAGAAGGAGGGTGATTTCTCTTTTCTGCATTACTTCTATATTACTTCTTAAGGATGTCCACGCAATGCATGAAATGATTTCCATAGACTCTTGTCTGCCTTACTTGGGCAATCTTCCCCTCTGATGGCAGGATGCTCTGCTGCGCCATAATACTTTTCTCCCTGTTTCAGCCCCCTGCAGTTCCTAGGGTTCTTCTTCCCCATTCCCTTTGTGTTTAGACCTAGAGCATGTTCTTCTTCCCTCCATCACACCTGTACTTGTGAACCCAGTTCATAGCTCTTCTGTAACCACTGTGTAGGACTGTCTCCTGAGCTCAGAGCCAGCAGTATTCCTATCCCATACATATCTGCATGCTTGGAGGCCCTGAGATCTGTGCATGGTCTTGAATTCATCTCCCAACTTTTCCCTCAGCAGAACTGAGCAGTGTGTGGCAGTACGCTTTCCTTGTTGCTTAGAAATCCAGGCTCTGTGCAGGAAGCCACAGTACACACCAACCCTCGTGCTTGAAATCCAGTTCTGTTGTAATAACTCCTACTGCCTCCCCCACTCCCTAGGGTTGGATTTGGGACATCTGGTGGTATTTTGAATTTCCAGCTCCATATTCATTGTCTACTCTTCTCATCTCTTCTACATTTTTTTTTGTGTGTGTGTTTGTGTTTATCTCTGTCTCTTATTTTTGTCTCTGTTCCATCCATGGAAATACTGCAGGTATCCCTCACTCACGTAAGTGCCTCTCTGCATTTGTTTTGTTCTTTTTCTGTTCCTAGAGTTTCTCTAACACACATAGCACTAGCTGTTAATCTAGTGCCTTTTTCCTCCAGGTTCATTAGAAATGAAATAACTGGTACTGCCTGTTTCCTAACAAAACTGACACTAGAATAGTCATCCTATAGGTAATACTAATCTTTTATAGAGCAGAACTGTGGGTTAACATCTGTCTTTCTTGTACAGCATGTGATTCAAATAGTTAGAGTACTTGTCTAATTATTGATTAGCAGTTATGTGGGCTGTACTTCAAGCCACGCAGAGTGCTGGGCAGCATCTCCACTGCCCTTATGTGGCTTTGGTTCGATGGGAGAGCTGGTGAATGACAGTGTGCTCAGTGATCCCACGTGATGAGGAAATGGCTTTAAAACAAGGATTCAGAGTCCAGCATGCAGGTTTAACAAAGTGCCAAGTCCTGAGTTAGGAGGCAGTGCTTCCATTGCTCGTGCTTTGTGTCCAGAGAGGTTTGATCTGACAGTCTGTTTTGCACTGTAGTTGCCCTCCTTTGGGCAGCATTTAACAGAGTCCCTTCCTCACCTTCCTTTCTTTCTTTAGCAAGTGCTGCTGCCCCCACGTGTTTAGCAGAGAGTGAGTATGGTGGGAGAGTTGTCCTGTTGGATTTGCTCTGCATGCATCTCCTCACTGAGTGTGGTGCAATCTGCCTAACATCCCTGGGTGCTTTCCTTCTTTTCTATGCAGATGTTTTCCCCTGATTAAGAACTGGGTCTCCTGGTAGAGGAACTGCAGATGAGCACAGGTTTGATTTCTAGGAGAGGGAAATCTCACAGACGACTCCCAGGTGTGCTGACCTGGTGCAGAGAGCAAGCCTGCCTGGGTGAAAGCTCTCATCATTGGCCTTTGATTTTAAGATTCCTAATCAACTTGTGTTCCACTTCATGGGATGTGTTTGGCTTTTGTGGTGTGAGGTTGAGTTTCTTGAAATCCTCGCAGCACAGAAAACCAAAGAGGATGTTTCTTAGCTAAACAGGGGAGAAATGATCAGCAGCAGATGGTGCTTCTGTAGAGCAATAACGAAATCATCACAACTCAGGTTTCTCATGCTGCATTCACCCCGGGGCGTTTAGAATTAGTGACATTCTTCTTTGTGCTTATTTCCTAGTGATCCTCATATTTGGTGCTTATACAATCTGTCTTCTGCTCTTGGAAGGGAGCTGCTTAGCAGCACTTCTAAGGGGCTTTTCATTCTGTTACCTCCTCAAAACATGCCATATTTCCTCTTGAGAATCCTAGTGCTTAGCAGTATGGCAACATGAACCAGGTTGCTATTTGGGCCCAAATTAGTCAGAAACACTGTAGCTGTCTCTGAAGTTAGATTCAGAGCTTCAGAATTCCTTAGGACAAAAAAGCCTCAGTGGAGACCCTTGGAGCCTGGCACACTGCAGGACCCAACGCAGGCTGGCTCCTTTTCCCCTGGCAGGGCAGCACAGTTCTGCAGTCTCTCCAGGTGAATCATATCTGCCATAGGGATTCAGTGTCATTCTCATTCTCTCTTTGTTAGGCTTTCTCTTTCCTTCCCCTCACCCCTGCTCCCTGCCTCTGATAACTTATTTTCATGCTGTGCTTCACCTTTACATGTCTTATCTATCCTTCATGTTTCCATAGCAACTCAGCCTCTCCCTGCATCCGAAAGCACAGAGCCACCAAGTGAGTAGATGGGAAGTGCTCCCCTTTGGTCCAGAGTGCTCTTTGTTATGCTGTAGCCTTCTGTCAAGGGAATTAAGGCATGAGGCTTTGTTGGTTTGCTGTCTGTTAACCAAGAACCAGGCATTAATCTGTTATGTGAGCATGTAGCTGTTAAATGCAGCATGGTTCCACTCTGACTCCTCTCCTTACTGTTGTCCTGCCAAGCATGCGGTAAAAAATTGATAAGTGGGATTTAGAAGAAACGAGGGGAAAGAAAGAAAGGTGATCATTTCCAAAAGGAATGTTTTCCATTTGTGATTTTGAGAGGTAAAGCTGCCTTCACAAAAGGGGCACGGAATAGATAATCTGCTTGATATCCTGCCTCGGTGTGTTCACTGCGAATTTAGAGACAGGCGTTCATGTTGTGGCTCTCAGTGCTGGATGCTGAAAGAAGATGCACATGATGAGTATCATACAGCAGAGAGGACTGCAGGGAGGGGGAGCATTGCTCCTATCTGGCCTGCATGAGAGTGTCTGAGACTTCACAAGAAGTCAGCATCTCAGCTGGGAGTGGGATTTGGATTCCCTCCATGCTAGCTCTGTGCCTTGTTGGTGAGATTCATTCTGATACTGAATCAGGTTCAGTTACTTCAGTGCTGGATCTGAGCAGTCTGTGAGAATAAAACTTGGATCATGTAGTGAATTTGGAGGCAGAAGAGCCATTGTGAAAAATCAGATTTAGGTTAGCTGTACAGAGTTCAGTGGTAGACCTTCCTGACACAGAGGAGATGTTGAAATGGTGTAATTTTAATCACCACCCCCAGAAGTAGGGATTTCTCCTCTAAGGGTAAAGTTGCATGCTGTAGAGAAACAAGCAATTACCTGCCGTGTAGTCCTGGAAGACAAAAAAAAGCAGTTCAGAAAGACACAGGTTTACACGGTGCATGTGTGTGTTCTCAACTAATCATTTCTACAAACTCCAGTTTTCTCTTTTGATTTGCAATAATAAAGTTATGTCTGTGACATGGCCTTAAAGTGAACGAGCCATTTGTTGGACGTGTCGTGGGTTAGAAATGGCCCGTGGCCTCTAAATGGGAAAAAATAAAAGCTTGAAGTGTGTGATTGCTTTTGTGTTTGGGGAGGGAGGAGAGTTAGTTTAGAGCTGCTGAAGGAAGCTTTGAAATAGGTAAAAGTGATGTGTATGATTGGCACACTGCATGCTCTTACACATAACAGGACTTGTACTTCTAGCTGCTGGTGACCACAGTGAACACTCTTCTATTTCCATGGCGTCAGTAAGGCAAACTTTAACTCCTGACACGTCTGAGGTGACAGCAGTTCTGCACTGTTGAAGAGAGCTTTTAATTCTAATTGGACTTTGGGGCTGGGTGGAGAGGGAGAGGCAAGCAAGTAGCAAGGCTGTAATAACCTGTGGGATGTTTTAGGAGGCAGATGCTCCTTTTTGGCTGTCCATCTGTGGGGCTGGGAGGTAGCATTAACTGTGAGGGAAAATATTGTGTTGCTGTTTTGTAGGACGTGCTTTAGGAGGAGTGGATCCTTTTACCCACTAGCCTCTTTCTTATGAGGCAAAGGAACACTCATGAAAAAGGCAAGCTAGAAAGCAGATAGCAAATTAGGAAGGGAGGCAGTGCATGGATTTAGCAGTGTCCTCCATTCCACCAACTGGTTTTTTTCTTGTTTTTCTGTTCTATTCCTGTCATGCAGTCTTTGGGGTTTCTCATCTCAGTGAGCAGTCGCTGCCATCCTCATGCTGTCTTAGTCAGCTTCCAGTGCACCACCTTTTGTTCCTCACTGGCAGAGAAAACCCTCGCACACCTGAGCTCACCAGTGGAAATCACTGCACATAACTCATCAGTATTCCTGAATATGTTGGATGGAGCTTCTGTGCCTGGGGTGGCAATTGTCAGTCTGACCAAATCCTGCTCGCAGCTCTTTGGGCAAAAGCCCTGTCCTTGGGAAGGCAATGCGTTGTAGATTTTCCTTTTTCAGTTGCTGTCGTTAATAAATAGGAAGACCTTTCTTTCTGCAGAGGGGAGAACACGTCAATGTGAAATGCCAAGTTTTGTCTCCACTGAACTGCGTGGGCTGTGATTTTGACCATTTCACCTCTGATGCCTGGACTGCTTCTGAATAACAATGTGTTCCCTTTTTCTTTCCAACAGTCTTGTGGATTCCTTCAGCTGTCCAAGTTCTGGGCCACAGTCCTTCTCTTGAGTAACTTTTGTTCCTTCCCTGACTTGGTATTAATAAGCAGTGACACAGCTGTGCCTAACGTTCCCAGGGTCGTAACCCAGCGCTTTAATATTCCTATGTTTCCAGGCAATTTGACTGTTTCCCCACTGTTTCTGATATATACTGGCTAATTCAGTTCCTATTTTATTTGGTCTGTAATTCTGTTGTTGATTTTTTTCCCTTGCCCATTGTTTACATCAGTTTTTTAATTTTTTTTGTATTTTTCATGTGACCTCCTCCACTTTCCTTTCAACCAATCATGTCCGTGCCTATCATGTGCCTTTGTCATGTGGCTTGCATGGTGCTGATGATGTCGTCCTCGCTGGTGAACAGAAGGTAAAACACTTTGTTCTGATTGGTCGCCTAGATTTGGGGGGAGGATGCCCTCTGGTCAGTGACCAGGGTCCTCCAAATTCCATGGCTCCAAAATCGTTCTGCAGCCTTTTGGAGAAGTTGCTCACTGCTGTCTGCATGTGAAGAACTAAACTTTAGTCGTCTGCACTGAGCTTGAAGAAATTTCATAGGACAGAATTACTGAGGTTGGAAAAGACCTCTGAGATCACCCAGTCCAACCACCCACCTACCATCAGTACTGCCCACTGACCGCAGCCCTCAGTGCCACATCTCTGTGGCTCTGGAGCACCTCCAGGGACGGTGACCCCACCACCCCTCTGAGCAGCCTGTCCACTGCCCCACCACTGCTGCACAACTTTTTCCTCACACCCAACCCGAACCTCCCCAACTTGAGGCCGTCTGAGAGAGGAAAAAAAAAAGGCAGAACCCACACGGCTCAGTCATTTGCTTCTTTCCCTGTCAGAATTACAGTCAGCATCCAAGTAATGCTCAAAAACTATCTGCCGTTATTACCAATGGCTAAAACCCTTCTGCATCTTATGGGAGCAGAGTGCCAACGGCATGCTATTGGGGTAACTGTGAGTTAAAGTGTTCAGATGATGCAAATCACCTTATTTCTTGTTGAGCAATACTTTAACTCCATGCTGTATGTCTGTGTACATACATTCATGCTGTCCATGTTCAGTAGCTCATCCAGACGATTAGACGTTCCTTATCTCTGAGATGTGCTTATTGCTAAGCATGTCACGTTATGATGTAAGAAATAAATCTGTCAAGCACAAAACCACAGCTAGTGCAGGAGATACACTTTTTTATAAGCTGTATGTACACATATAGGCACACCCAGAGTAGTGACAGGAGCTACACTTAGCAGTAAATACATGAGGTATTATTGCACTGTTCTTGCCAGAGCAGCTCACCCCTCCCACGCCATGACATGGAGCCAGGCAAAAGAATTAATCCAGGTCTGAACTCCTATAACTGGGGATTTCCGTGACTTCAAGAAGCAAATGATTGACCCTTGCAGCTCATGGAGATGAAATTAGTCTCTAAGACATGGTAGCAAAAATATTTTCTGTAACACTGTGTTTTTGAAAACTTCACTTAATACCACTCTGTGCACAGTCTGAAGAGAGGAGGGGAAGCCCTGCTGCTGCCCCCATTAATAAATCACTTTGCAATCCAGGGAGCAAAAGGATTTGGGGTTTTTTCCCCTCAATCGATGAGTTTTGAAGTGCCTGATTGTCGTGGACCACCACCAGGCCAGGGTTTGAGCAGGGATTTGCCAGGAAAACAAAACTAACACCAGTAACCTTCCTGCCTGACTGCATGCACCGAAGCAGCCCCTCTTCCAGGTTTTCTTCCCTCTCTAGGCAAAATCCTGGAGGGCTGAAGACGTGGTTGTCTCGTTTTTGCATGTTATGTTTTTTGTTCCTTATTTCTTACTGTTGATACTCATTTCTCTTGTGTACATTCTGCAGACTTCTACCTGCTCTTTCTCCCCCGGCTGTATTTATTGTGGAGACTTCGATAGCTGTGATGTGTTTGTTAGCTTCAACTTGTGACACTCTGTAGATCACAATCTAATCCCATTTACACAGCAGTCAGAAATGCGCAAATCAGCTTTTTGTTTGCGTATTGCAGAAATAACTGCAGACAGTTTGCAGCTGTGTTCTCTGAGCACAGCAAGGATGCAGAATTGTCCTTTGCTGCCAGCTGGACAAGGATTTAAGCTCCTAGTCTCCAGTGCTGCAGTTGTCTGGTAACCAAATTGACCTGCTTTTCAGTAGCTGGGCAGAAAGACCACATTTGGTGAGAGAAGAGAGGTGGTGAGAGGCTCAGTGTAAATGGGAGAACCCCCCCCAGGCATGTAGCACACCTTTATAAGCACTTTTGTTTTCAGCCCCTTCTCCTGTAGCGAGGATGCATGTCCTGTGAGCATGAGTTCCTCTCTAACCTTCAGCTGACAGTCTTTTCTCTTCAGCTACTGACACTGACTCGCTGTAGAGATGCTGACTCTGCTGGACTAAACTCCTCCCACTAAACTTCTTCCTCCTTTGTTTGAAACTACACACTAACCCGTTTTTAATTTTTCAGCCCTGTATCTGGATTTTATCTTCTTGATTGAGGTCAATTAAATCCTGTGTATGTAAGGAGAATGTTCGTTACCAGGTTTCGCACCGCTGCAGCTGTTTGTTTCAGCAGTCAGGAATGCTCCATGTTCTCCTTTTAGAAGGGATTTTCTTGAAGCAGAGGCACACTTAAGCCATGGGGAAAAGAAAGAATCAGGAGCTAGAAACCATGCAGCTCACAGCGAAGAAATTTCAGCAGTGAAAGCAATTATTGCTTGGAATGGCTGCATGTAAAGTGCAGCAGGACCTCAAAGTTTGAAAATCTTTGTATCAGGAATGAGCATCTTTATAAAGGATGTTCGTTCCCAGTTTAGTCTTGGTACTCAATCACTGGAAAAAAATTCTAGTCCTGTTAGATAAGAGGTCGCATTATTTAAGTACAGTATTCCCTTATCACTTCAACATCTGTTTACCTATTAATAATTTTCTCTCTGAGATAAAAATGGGAAAGAGCACGAAGGAGATGTTGATCTTACACTGTCTTGTTATCAGCGAAGTCGTTTATCGAGTCTGTCAAAGTAAGGCAGAAGCCAAGCACTGCTGCTCATGAATGTTTCAGCACATGCAGCTCGGTGCCTGGCAGAATAATGGCCTGTGCTGCTGGGATTTGGTTCCTTGCATGAGGAAAACGTTAAGCAGGACATTTGTTCCTGCTTCCATTTAGCTGTTGGGCGTTATTCCAGTAACAGCTTCTTCAACTCAGAATTCAAAAACAGTAACCTTGGCAGTGATCTCTTCTTTTAGGATTGGGGGAAGGAAGATGATTTGGGGGTATTTCTGTAATCTGGTATTTTCAGCATGCCTGAGTGAGGTGCCTCTGTTCATCCAGACCTCACCTGTTCACATTTGATTTCCAGTCTGTGATGTGCTCCGTGCTTTCACCATTCATAATTCCAGGAGAAGCATGGTTTGGGAAGAGATTCTCAGATATGCAGCCTCAGTAAGCTCACAGAAGGACAGATCCCCAGCTTTGTACAGTAGGTGGCAGATGTGGTCATTGCTTACTGATGAAAAAGGAGCATTCCATCCTTATGGCTTTAAGAAAAGTAACTGCTTTGTGAAACACCAGTGAGTGTCTCTAACATCCAAGAACTGGGCATCCATGGGTTGTAAATGCCTTCTTGGAACAGCTGGTGCTGGAGCATGTGTCAGCCTTTAAGGAGATGGAATTAATCTTAAACTACTGCTTCAGTCTCAGTTTTGCATTTTTCTTACAGATGTTTCACCAAAAAAAAACCAAACAAACAAACCCAACTCTACTTGATTTCTTTCTTTAGAGGATTTCTTCAAGTTACTTCTGAGGATCAGCTTTGAAAGATATTGGAAGATTAACCTTTTTCTGGCCAGTTCAATGCTGCACGTGCTTTCCATCAGCAGCTGAATACATATCCAGGCAGAATAGATTTAGAACTGGGGATGTTTGTTGGGCTGAAAGAAGCCATAGCTGGTGTTACTGGCCAGTGTTGATCTCAGTGCAAGTACTGCCTTACTGTGTCCTTTCCCTTTTAGTACAACAGCAGAACTGGGTTTGAGAAGCCTTGTCCCAAGCAATGGGCTGAGCTTTAACATCACAGTGTGATTTTGGTGGCCTGGTTGTGGTCAGGCTCTGAAGCTGCAGGTGTCACGGTTTCAGAGTTCGGGTGTTGTTCTCTTGGGGATCTGTCTACAGTCGATCCATCCCTTAATTGTGTGTTGCACTGCTCTCCAAGGGTCTGTCAGCATGTGCTTAAGAGAGACATTGTCCAAATCACAAGTGGCTCTGCAAGTAAAGACAGAGGTGCTCTGCCAGAGCCATAAGTCAGTCGCCTTGAGTTAGGATGGTAAAGCGTGTGCTTGTCATTCACAGGCCTCTACAGAGGTTTGTGTTCTCTGTATTTGATTTTCTTGTGGCCAGCTGTAAAACACACTCAGATAAACAAATAGAAATGCTTTTAAAGTGCCTGAAGTCTGATTGGCAAAATAGAGGTGCGGGAGGTTTGTTGGGTTGGGATTTTATTTTTGCTTTTTAACATTCAGCCACCTTAATTGATATATAAAATACTGTAAGCATTATGAGCCTGTAATGAGAACAACCAACAGAGTGCAATTAATCTTAGGAGTTGGTTGGAAGTGCCAACTGCAGGTGATTTGAAAGCTTTAATTTACAAACAATTGCAGTGTTGGTTTTGCTCAAATTACGTGTAAAGACGTGAAGCAGATCAGCCTTCAGAGAATAACAGCTGAAATGCTCAGAAGTTCCTGAAGAGGTTTTAAGCCCAGAGCTCATGGCTGAAGCAGTGGGACTGCAAAACAACCTGGCAAGCTTCAGCAAGATTTTTGATTGCATTTGAGTTCTTGCTATGTTTCAGTGCTTTTGAGATAATATCTCCAAGTGCAACCTCAAGTTGGATCCATGTAGGGAACCCGTGCCTTCATCTTGCATGGAATGGAGCAAAGCAGGCATCGAGGAGCTGAACTTAAGCAGGATCTGAGCTCCTGGAGTCTGTGCCATTTCTTAAAAGAGAGACCAGCACTTCTTTCTCATCTCAGTTCTTTTGCTGATTTGATGCATATGTTGTAGTGGTTGTTTGTTGGGTTTCCTTTTCCACAGAAGCAAATAAATAGGTGGACATGTCTGTTTCACAGTGAGTTCCCAGGCTAAGAAGAAGGAGAAAATTTGTCTGTTGAATAGTCAGCTGCATTATTTGTGAAAAGGCGATGTTGTGAACATACAATGAAAGTGTGGGTTTGATTTCTGTTAGGAGAGGTGACAGAGAGAAGTTGCAGTGTGAGGGGGGAACCATCCTGCAGGCTGTGTGTGAAGGTTATGGGGGAGCTGGTGAGGAAAGGGCAGTTGGAGGCATGGTTTGAAAAGGATGTGGATGAAAATCAGCGCGCCCTGAAGAGAATGAAACTTCAATTTCCTGCTGATGTCAGGGGTGCAAATTCGGAAAGGATGGCTTTTTCTTTTAAAGGTGGTTGTTACAGAATGATGAAATGGGTCACATTCTTTCCAGCCCGTATTTGTTGCCATTTGGTAAACCAGTGAAAACAAGTGTTGTTGCCCTTGTATCATTTTTTCATACCCATTCAAGTGACCACAGCAGTGAGGTCACTGTGGTCCAGGGGCTATAAAACTTAAACAGCATGCAAAGTGCAAACAAGGTCAATGTGACAAGGATGTCGGTTCTCAGTAATGCTTCTTATATCCATGTTGTAGAGGAGAATCCTGCCTGCTTGCTATATTCTCTAACTCAGCATTTTCCAGATGACTCAGACAGGCATTTTGGAACAGAAACAGTGAAGAACTGGGTTTTGCTCCAGGGTATTCTCATGGAATGATGGTGTCTTTTTCACTTAACTTCAGACTCCATTCAGCATATGCAAAAATGATAAATTACATCAGTGGAAGCAAACTACCAAATGCAAGCAGAATTGGGTCTTGCAGGTGTGTCTGAGTAAGGCCAGTACGATGTAGTGAAGTATTTTTCTGGCTTTGAGTACTTTTTTCCTAACAATTTCTTTTTTACAATTAAATATAAATCCACCATTGTTTCAGGGGAACCCAGTGCACCCAAACTGGAAGGGCAGATGGGAGAAGACGGAAACTCCATCAAAGTGAATGTTATCAAGCAGGATGACGGTGGCTCCCCAATCAGGCATTACCTGATCAAATACAAAGCTGTAAGTATGACCGATGCTTAAACCTTGTCTGCCTGTAGCCTCTTCAGAACTCATGTACCACTATGCAAGCAGCTACCTTAGCAGATTGAAGCTGAGATCTTGTGGGTGCCCCATCCCTGCAGGCACTCCAGGCCAGGTGGGATGGGGCCCTGGGCAGCCTGAGCTGGTGGGGGGCAGCCCTGCCCATGGCAGAGGGGATGGAACTGGGTGGTCTTCAAGGTCCCCTCCAACCCGAGCAGTTCTGTGGTCTTGCAGGTAGATCTGTACAGAATGTACAGAATGTAATGTCAAAACCAAAACCAAATTCAAGCAGAGATTGAACAGCTTGTTAGCCTACCCCACTCTGCCTTTGTCTCAAGGTACCTTGGAAGTAGTTTTTTTAAATTAGCGTAGGCAGAATGAACATCTGCATTTCCTGAAACTGGAGCAGGAATCATGAAGCTGCTGGTTGCATGCCCTGTTGAAAGTCTTAAACAGTGCCAGGTGGAACAGTCCTGATAAGCTAGGCCAGATGCAAGGTCAGAGTTGGGTCTGTCTTGCAGAAGATCCAACTTCACACTCTAAGGGCTATAAGAATGTTCTTTATGTAGAACCCTCCCTGCGTTTCCCTTTGTTAGTTAGCTGTTACCCTGCTCTCAGAGCTGACCACTAACGTTGTGCTGTTTGTTTTGCATCCCCACCTGCCACATCGTTGTCCTGCAGAAACATTCCTCAGAATGGAAGCCAGAGATCAGACTGCCTTCTGGCAGTGACCATGTAATGCTCAAGTCTCTGGATTGGAATGCAGAGTATGAGGTTTATGTGATAGCTGAAAACCAGCAAGGGAAGTCCAAACCTGCTCACTATGCTTTCCGGACATCTGCTCAGCCTACTGTCATCCCAGGTATGGCAATCATAAGCTTTACCATTGTTTTCTGCTTCCAATTAATGCAACAGTGCTGCATCCTTTAATGTGCCTGAGTAACCCTGACAACTTGCTTGCTTAAAAGCCATTATCATAATTAGTTACCCATCTAAAGCTTGATTTTTGCCACGTACATACCTGCAGTGTAGCACACATTAAGGTATGTACAGCATTAGCAGTACACTGGTAGGAATGCAACACGGCAGAGCTGTCTGATTGCACGCAGGGAATGGTGGCTTTAGCATCAGGGTAACAGCATTGCCAGATGTGAAAAGCAGTGGACAGAAAAGGCTTTCTGAAAGCAGAAAGATTCACAACTTAAACTAAAGCGAAGGGGACCACTTATGTCTCTGGTGCAATGCTTTTCACAATTCAGATTTCCCCTCCAAACCCGCTTTGTGCTTGCTTACTGCCCATTTGTCCATCCAGTTCAGCCTTTGGAGGAAAAAGACACAAGGAGTTTGCTAGCAGTCATAAAGGGAGAAAGGGGAAATCTTTCTCCAAAGAGTTTTCGTTAAATAAAACGGAGATTAAAAACAAACGTAATTTTAAAGTAGCATTGTTTTCATGTCATGGCAGGGAGTTAGAGAATGGTAACCAAAGTGCATCAGAATGCTGCTGGAGACTTGTTTCAGACAGACTTCTCTCCTCAAAAAGTGAGGTAAAAGCATAAATGCTATGAGAAACAAGCAGGCCCTATAAGGTGCCAGCAATCCTACAGTTTGCTGGCAGGCATTAGAAAGACAGACAGTGTTTATTGCTATGCAGGTGTCGTCTTGAACCATTTAATAACAAACCCCAAACCTGAGGGTTGGAATTGCTGGACCAGCTGTAAATTCAAGCTCAGACTGGCTGGAGGCAGATGGGCACACTGCAGGTCAGGTCCTCACTGCACAGCCCGACTGAAGCAGCTCCGTGCCCAGTGTGCTGACAGTCCGTGCTGCAGGGAGTGATTCGGTTGTGTTCTGTCCTCTAAGTTCTTAGGTCAGTCTTGTGCTTTTGTTCAGAGTTATCTGTTTTCATCAGTCCTCTCTTCGCATTGAGAATTTAATCCTTAATTTGCCATGCCCCTGTCCTGTCTGAAGCAAACAACTGAGAGCTGGTGCAGTTTGTGTGCTGAACCTCCACTCAGTCAAGCCAGGTAGCATTGTTGAGCGTCCAAATGAGTGACCTGGATGGCTGGGGCTTGAAGATGTGTACAGCAGCAAGCATGAGGATGGGGAGGGGGAGAGAATGGGGCAAAAGAAAGACTGGGAAGTGTGTTTGAACAGGGCTGCAGTTTGCGTTGGAACGACACTCCGTAACTCATTAAGCAACTTACCATCTTTCTCATTTTCAGCAGCACTACTACTACTTACTACTCTCATATATTTGAAGGACAACTGTGACTAATGAGGCAGGGGAAGGGGAGGGTAATTTGGCAAAGAGTGCCTTAACTACAGGCTAGAACAGTAGAGCACAGAGAGTAAGCAGCAGACAGAGCGTTCCTTTACTGTTGTGCATCTCCTCAGGAAAAAGTTCCAAGGACTGATTTGCAGTTTTTTTCTTCCACACTGCAGAGCTCCTCTCTGTGCTGGTACTCTGTCAGCCTTTGTTGCACACTTGTGGAGTACCAAAGGGTACCTGGGACAGCTGGGATGTCTTGCCTAGGGTGTTAGCAATCTCTGGGAACTCTGTTTCCTTTGGAATACACAGTTCATGCTGTAGTCCATGGCAGAGGGAAGAGCAATAATCTCAGTTTCCACTGAACCCTTTAAATGCCACAGAAACGTGGGAAAAGACTCCTTAAAAGAACAGAATTTTTTTAAATGTCCGCTTTGTTTTCATGGGTGCAGTTTCCTCTCAGGAGTTACTCCTCACTTTATCTGATGTAAAGCATGGGAGAGGTCAGGATCTCAGCTTGCTCCTTCCAGTGTTGCACTTGGAAATGCTGGAAGCACTTTGAAAAATGGTTGTTTTCACTCTGCAAGCTTGCGCAGGATTGACAGAGCAAATGAATGCAGATGTTTCTTGGGAAGAACTTGTCTTGGTTCAGGAACAAGTAGGGCATGGTGCAAGGAAGTGGCTGCTGCTGCTTGTGCTGCATTGGTGACTTGTTTCTCTAGCTTGCTTCATTTTGTTCAGACCTTTGGCTTTTATTAGGCCTTTTGAGGTTCTTCCAGATGCTTTGGTTCCCTGAGCTTTCTCCAAACTAACAGTGTTCAACAGAGTACTTCCAGAGGGCAGCCTAGATTCTCTGACACGCAGTCATAGGGCTCTGTTGACATGAAGGCTGCTACACCAGATTGCAGCGGCGAAGAGGCTCCGTGCATTACTTTGCTTTGTCACCTCTGTAGAGTTTTCACAGTGTCCTGGAAGGGTGAGAGAATTAACAAAAATTAATCGCATCAGATCAGTTCTCAGGCAGCTGGAAGGCTGAAAGGAAGGACCAGCCGTGCTCCCAGGCCTCCCATCTGCAGAGGTTTTACTCACCCAGATCTGTCATGTGAGCCCCGGTACAGGACGGGGCAGGCAGGCGGATCGTTTGCTGCTGTTTTCTTTCTCTTTGGAAAAGGCAGTGTTGTCCTTTCAAATATCAGACAGGCTTCTTCTTGTGCTGATCGCTGAGCCCTCTGTTCCATCATTTTGAATCCCATTTGCTTGCTAACCTCGTAACCCCTGCCTTGAACTCTGCTCTGCAGCTTTGGACTTTGCTGAGCTTCTGGACCTGGCCCTTTTGTCGCTGTGAATGTGCTGTGCTTCTTTCTAACCTTTAGCCATTTTAGTTTACTTAATTAAATAAACCTTTGATTCTTATGTTTTCTATATTTATGACCTAATTTTTTTTTATCTATTTTTTCTCTGTCTCTCTTTTTTCTTTCTTTCTTCCTCGTCCTTTCTTCCCTCCCCTTTTCCCCTTATTCCTTTCCTATGTCTGTCGTCATACATGTCACCTTGGATCTCACGGGAAACATCCACGCTTGCCACATGCACCAAATTTGCTTTTTAAACAACCATATTTTCCCCTCCTGGGAACCATTGTCTGGCACCTGCAGCGACCTTGGGAAGTCCATCAACGTCGTCCTCCTTTGTTTCATTGCTTCTTTCTGCAGTGACTCTGCTTTTGCTCTGTTAGAAACTTAAAATAAAGCAATATTTGCTTGAAGAGGCCTGGGTCCTGCCGAGGTGTTGAAAGCTGATAACTTTGGTTCAGAGGATCCCATCAGTTCAGGAGGGGGGGAAGAAAAAAATTGTGTCATTTGAAAGAGTTCATATTTTGTAACAAGGAAGAAAGGTTTAAACCGAGTGTTTTATCTTTAACAACTTTTGTTACTTGTAATGAATTTGCCCTTTTTAATGAATGTAAAGGAAGAATTTTTTGCTTGCTCGCTTGTTTCATCGTAGGAGAGTACAGTATTGAGAGCCTTTTAAAAAAGTCCCCCATGCACACATGCACATAAAAGCCCCAACCGGATCTTTGTTGATTTGCTGATACATCTGGTGCTGATCACCACTGTGTTGAGCACAGAGCTTCTGGAGCCCTGCCTGCAAATGTCAGCCAGGAGAGTAAAAGCAGGGAAGCAAAATTGCCAGAGAGAATCCTACTGAGCGCCCGTATTCCTCTGTGTGCTTTGCAAGTGGGCTCAAATGTACGGCCCTCAGGTTGTGCTGGTGTGGTGACGTGAATACAACATCTGTGGGAATTGCACTGAAGGCGTTTCTCTTTCCTTTCACTGCTTGATCCCTTGGGACTTCATTGGCCCCTGTGTGCAGTCAGCCATCCCATGGCCCATAGTGGATCTGAGGCATCATCCTGCCCAAGAACATTCAGATTTGCAATGGATGCTTGTCTAACGTTGCTTGGTTCTCTACTACTGTCCTGTCAACTTCATAGAGAGATCTCTTCTCTTGCCATTTAACAGAGAAAATTAGCTTGAATCAAATGACCTGACGATCTAAATGGTTATTACTACTGATCTTTAATCATATTCGTGGTTAACTGTGCATGTGACACTGTCAGACAGGATTAATCCTTGGTGTAAATATAATGCAGCTTTGTTACTGAGCTCTGTGTATTGCGTTTCGTTGAACAAATTGCAGGTGATTTTCTTTTTTTTATTTCCTTTTCTTTTCCTCCTCAAAAAGAAAAGAAAACAAAATCCTGTGCACCTCATGGATTGTCTTTCGTGATGGGAAATCCATTTGGTTCTGTTGCTCTTCTAAAAATGGGTGTCCATCTCCTCTCTTTCTCTGTAAGTGGGCCTGGGGTGGAAAAGAATGGAATTGTTGGTGCAGTTACTGAGCTCTCTGTACAGAATGTCTCAAAAACTATCTGTTGTGCAGAATGAGCTTCATCTTTCTACCCAGATGCTAACAAGGACAAAGAACAAGCCCTGCCATCATCAGTCTTGTTTATCTGTGCGTTTGATGCTCTGCACATAAGACTCTGCTGTGTTTATTCAGACCTTGTTCATGATCATTTGTGAACTTCTTTTCTGTCTAAATTATAAATGAAAACTTTGTACGAGCGCTGCACTCCAACCATGCGGATATTTTTTAACCAAACAGAACAGACAGAGCCACGCTCTCACCTCCAGTGTTCTGGAACATAGCAAATTGGTTTGGCTTCCTGCATTTACACTTTAGTATAATGGAAGTAGTCGTAACCCTAAAAAGCTGTGTGAACTTCCCATAGCTTGGGAAGTTATTAAACTCATGCATAGATCTACTATCAGTTTGTATTCCCCTTATCTGTAGGCACAGGTTGAGGCATAGGTGAGGTTGAGCACCCAGCTTTGGAGTATTAAAACCAACGTGCTGAAGCTATTACTGGTCATAACTGGTGGATGAAGAGAGAGCAGCCCTTCTGGGAGCCATTCTTCCTCCATGGTACTGGGAATGCATTACCTTCCCATGGGCTGCTGCCTGCAGAGACTAAGCAAAGCCCGGGTCACTTACATGGTGAAAGCTGTAGTAAATGGTCCAGTCAACATGGAATATATACAAAAAGAAGTCCTGTCCCTGTGTTTGAAAACATAAGGAGCATAAGTGATATTTTCACTGCCTGTTTACTTGGGTTTGTAACATGTTAGATTTCAGATACACACATTAGATCCTTGATCTCTGACAGTCAGTGCTGGACAAGATCCCAGGCCTTATTCCTGATGTCAATAACATTTCAAAAAGCTTGCAGAAAAGCTAGCACTCTTTTTTTGTACTCAGAGGTGAGACAGATTCAGAGCTGGAACCTGAAGGGGCTCAAATACTCAGATTTTCAGCACACAGACAGCTTCACAAGTACATGTTCTGTGGGATGTCACAACTCCAGGAAGGCTGGAATCTGGGTCCTCTAGAAGAGATGATTCCATGTGCGATGAACTGCAGAGCTGTGCAGGATCTCCCCTGGCCCCCAGGATGCCAGCAGCTCTATTCTTAGTTTGTCAGTTAGTTTCTACATTCTTGGGGAGATATCTGATGATATCCTTTGGCTGCATGTCAAATGGGAGAGACCTTGTTTGATCAGAGGGAATGGCCTCAGGTTGTGCCAAGGGAGGTTCAGGTTGGATGTTAGGAACAACTCTTCCAGAAGTCATTGGTCATTGGCACAGCTGCCCAGGGTCACCATCCCTGGAGAGCCATGGAGATGTGACAGTGATGGGCGACGCTGATCGTAGGTGGGTAGTCAGAGTGGATGACCTTAGGGGTCTTTTCCACTCTTAATGATTCTTTGATGATTTTCTCATAAAAAAAAAATCAGTTGCGGTTGTTCACACCTAATTTCTTTTAGATAAAAACAAATTTTTGAAGCTTTCCTGACTGTTGCAGCTAGCGGAGTGCAGTGAGCAGCCAGGTGGCACGGGGGGGTGCACTGCAGTAGTGCAGAGGAAGCACATGCTGTGGCAGGGGTCAGACTGCAGATCAGACTGTTTTATTCCTGAAGGCAGGATCTTCATATGACTTCCTCTGTGCTTGCAGTTCTTCCTTTTGTATGCTCATTACCCTCGTGTTCATCCTTGCAAAGGGAGGCAGTCGTAGGGAAATACAGAACTTGGTTCTGGGAGCCGACTGCTGGAGGAGCCAATGTGTTGGTGACAGTCTGAAGAGTTCACTTGTGTTTCTGGAAAGTATCTCTTGCCTTCTTGATGTGGAAGGAGTGCTTTCAACAGACCGCTGGGCATTTCTGCTTCATGGTAGTTAAGGTTAAAGCAAACATAAGCTGTTGGACCTAATTCCATGTGGAAACAGACACTGCTGTCACATGGAATAGTTGATTACTTGCGGTCTGCATTTCTCCCCTTAAGTTGTGCATGGTGTTTGACAATGCTAATATAAGTTGTGCAGGTGCTTGCCAATGGCTGTCAGAGAGCTAAAACTGCTTCCAAACATCGGCCATAGGTACACACAGACACAGGAGAACCTGCTGCTGTTATCTGAAGTGGAATGGCACGTGTTGTTTGGAACACCACCCATCTGTTCCTTCCATTCCTTGCTTTCTGTTACTAATCCTAAGTAGAGAAAGGTGAATGTTCAGACAGGCTTTTTCTGCAGCAGCACTAAATAACCTCAATATCATTCCTCCTTAGAAAGTAAAGCAGATATGTTCAGTCAGATGGGTGGAGGAAGATACGACGTTTCGCTTTCATGTGGGGATTTCTGTTACAATTTCATACCTTATTTCTGGCCTGAAGTCATCCACCTCCTGTTTCCAGCTTTTGGAATTTATTGTATCTTTGCTCAAATAAAGTGCCTTTATTGTCTGTACTGTTCTGCTGCATGTAGGTATTTATAGGGCTGCATTGACCTAATCCATCCCTGCACATTTATTTGGTTGCCTTACATTGACTGCGTTTCCCAAGTCAGGTTTTTTTGTTGTTTCAATTCTTCAGACTGGGTTGTGGTGTTTCCCTGTTTAGCCTTCTTCCTCAGCACTGTTCTGAGCAGCAGCTCTGTGTGGTGCTTTCCCACGGGGCCCTCCAGCAGCTGCCAAGGAGCTCATTCCCAGGGAGATGCTGTAGATGAGAGAAGTTTAACACAGCCTTACATTTTCCTCCAGGAGCTGCTGTGATCAGGACTGTGTTAACTATTGCATCATCCATGCAAGAATCCTGAGTACATTAGGAGACAGAAAATATATATCCTCCTCCCTCCCTGCATACTCAGGAGGCTGATGAATTCATTTAATTACACAGCTTGATGCGAGGTGCTGGCAGGGGCTGTGGCACAGTTGTTCTGCCAAGCACTCACTGGACTTGTGCTCCAAGTGTCAGAGTTGGGCACCTCAGAGTGACTTTCAGATAAAGTAAAATGCAGGAAAAAGCCCCAAACTCTTTCCTGTTGGAGTCCCAAGTTCCTCAGTCTTGTCTCAAAATGAAACGTTTACCTCCCTCATGCTAAGGATGTTCTGTCTCCTGTTTTTAAGTAATAAAAGAATGGCAGAGACCATTCCCAGAGCTCTGGAATTAATCTTTTCACATGCTACAGTCAGCATGGATCAGCCTCAGGGGCCAAGGGCTGCTTTACAGGGCTTCCCAGCAAAGAGATTCCAAGTGTTTGGGGGCTGTGACATCCGATGGTAAAAACACTGGAAATAGAAATTGCATCTAAGTGAAAGAGCAATGCAGGGCTCCTAAGGACTACAAGAAATGTGCTCATCCTTCTCAGCTGTCTCAGTAAACTTGAGTGCCAAGCTCTACCAAATGCACAGACCTTGCTGAGCACGCAGGCTGAGAAGCAGAGCGTGGGATGGCTGAGATCTGCTGGTCTGAGCGGCGCAGGACCTTTGATGGATGCTGAACTCTGCATGAGCTCAGCAGAATGCTCTCTCTGCAGAGCAGCAGCTTGGGAAGAGCTATTCTGAACCAAACAAGGGGAACCAAAAGTGGGTTCTGTTTAGGGCATGGCAGCAGGAGGCTGAGAAGCCACAGCTGATAGCTTTGAAGAAGAGTTTCCTTTGCCAGGGAATCAGTTCTTGCTCGAATTACACAGACTTAGTCCTGTCAGCCCAGTACACTCCAGCCCCTGTCAGCCTTCCTGCAAACAACATGGAGAGTTTCAAGTGATAGCAGAGGAATTACTAAGCAGCTCAGCCCAAACAGTCCGTTCTTTAGTACGGGTCAGCGAGGATGTCAGTGTACAACAGGCAGTGTTAGTGCTGCTTGGTTTGCAGAGCACCTGCCCTGACCGTGCCTCGCGTCCGGCCCCGAGGGCTCACTCACGCTGCCCAGCTGCACTGCCTTGGCTGTCGTAAATTTGGAGGCCGATCTTACTTGTGCAAGTACCTTTGTATTCACATTTTGAAATCAACAAAGATTGTAAGTTTCAGAGAGCAGCACGAATTTGGGTCAAATTCTGTACTGCAGTGCATGTGAACATACATTTCTTGCCTGTGGATTTTATCGCTTACTGCCTGGCTGCTGCCTTAAAATCACTGTAGGTTTCATTAGTACAACTCCTGCTGCCATGTACACCGTGTTTGGGAATACACCATGGAAGAAGTTAGCAGATCTTCCCAGCCTGTGCTGGTCGGAGGAAGGTTGGAGGATCTTGGCAAGTCTGGTTCCTCCAGCAATTGCATTCGCTTCCTGGAGCGAGTCCCGGCTTTGCTGCATGCCTCACTCGCATCCCCAGATCCTGGGAGACGCTGATCTGTCCCTGCCAGAGGCCACTCTTCATCTCTTTCATGCTGCTGAAAGTTGATGGCAAAGCTCGTGAGTCTCCCTGTTCTCAAAAGGGCTTGCTTGGGAGCGGCTTTGTGAGACCCCTGTAAGAGCAAAGCTTGTCAGCTTCTCCGAGTGGGCTCATTTGCACCCTACAAGGGCTAATCAACATTCAGGCCCCTCTGGTGTTTCCCAGCATTCAGTGTCCCACCAGGGAACGTTGTGCTGCAGAGCTTCACTTCCAGCCGTGATGCTTGTCCTTGTTCTAGGCTGGCAGCATCAGAATCACTGTGTGCCCGTTGGGGCGGTGGTGAAAGAGAACAGGAACCATTCAGAGTTCCAGCTGGGTATACATTACAGTGGAAGAGTTTTCCATGGTCTGCTTTCCCTGTCCTTAGGCCAACAGAGACTGGAAAGGCCCTGTCAGGTCCCAGCAAACCTGCGTGGGTTGTCCTGCACGTCTATAGGACAAAGTACTGATTATTGCACATGGCTGCTGGAGAAAAAGTGCATGTTTTGTGAGTTTCCCATGCTTGCAACCTGTAGCCAATTCTGAGCCATGGGTATCCCCGGCTCACCTTCTAACTACAATGCTTTCTTTTCTTCTCTTTTGGTCTCTAAAGCCAGCACTAGCCCTACGTCAGGCCTGGGGACTGCTGCCATCGTAGGCATTCTCATTGTTATCTTTGTGCTGCTCCTGGTGGCTGTGGATGTCACCTGCTACTTCCTGAACAAATGTGGCCTGCTGATGTGCATTGCTGTCAACTTATGTGGCAAGTCTGGACCAGGAGCCAAGGGCAAAGACATGGAGGAGGGCAAAGCTGCCTTCTCGTGAGTACCATCATCACTCCTTTTACTCATTCTGTTGGGGGTGACAAAAAGGAATCTGCTGTCCAGGGCAGCTTATTTCTCACAGTCACCATCAGTATTTGAAGCGTGTCTTTGCAGGACAGTCTTTGCAGTTACTGTGTACTGTAACCAATCTCTATGTAATCTCCATGATTCTAATTAATTCCCTTGTTACAGGAAAGATGAGTCCAAGGAGCCTATTGTGGAGGTGCGGACTGAAGAGGAGCGGACCCCCAACCACGATGGGGGAAAACACACAGAGCCCAACGAGACCACACCACTGACAGAACCAGAGTATGTTGCTATTCATCAGTCCTAGAGCAGAGTCAGTACAGAACCCTCATTTGCTTTAATTGCTGATCACTCATGCACGTGCCACAGGGCAGGAAGAGAGGAAGAAAGCAAAAGTCTTCACATTCGGTTTCTGACATAGCCGTGAGAAAATGCTTCCTCTCTTCCCTGCCTGACTCCCACCTGCTTTGATGGAGTTTGCAGTGGAGGGCCCACTGGTAAAATGGCTCTGCTGGAAGTCGCTTTGAGGTGAGAAGAGGAAGGAGGCTGTACCACAAGCACATTGAAATGCAGAAGCAAAGCACAGCAGAGTAGCTAAGATCTGTATGCTTGTGATTTTCTTGCCTTGTCTTACTGGGGTTTTATCTTGGTTACCTTCCTTTACAAAGATTTTCTCTTAGTTCATAAGGCTGAGGTGGTGTTCTCAGGCACACTGGCTTCTATTGGAGTAAATCGCTTGTTGTTTCCAACCTCTCATCCGTGTACTTAAGCAATCAGTGCTATATTGTGGCAGCAAAAGCATAATTACACTGTCAGGCATTGTCCTAAAGCAGCCCCTATTCCTGCTAGAACAATAGGCAGAGGTTAATCTAGTCAGAAGGGTGGAAACTGTCGCTTCTAAGCTGCATGAATGTACATATATTATGTGTGTGTATGTGAGGACAGGAACTAAATTACGTGTGGTTTGATGGAGGCCTTAGACTTGTTGGCAAAAGCATAGGGCCAAGACAGGAGACTGAATTCAGGAGTCCTGCACCGGGATGTTGTTGCATGGTTACAGATGGCACAAGGCTGCAACCTCTGGGAATTGGTAGAAAGCTTCCTTGTAAAGCTAGACTTAAGAGGATGAGAAGGAAGTTAGCCTGAAAGAGAAGACTCTGCAAGTCAACAGGGTTACATTTGACCAAGACTTGAAGCATAATCTGTCTGAGCAAGCCACTCCTGAAGGTTGTGTCCTCTCTGCTCTTCCTTCTCTTCCTAATTGTCCTTCAGTCACCCTGCCAGCCCTTGCTGCCCTTTGTGTATTTCATCTCTGAAAGCTTTCTTCTTCTCTGCCTCCACGCTGTGTTTGTGTTGTAACACCACCATGCTGCTGCTGCTGTTTCACCCACTTGCCTTCTCATGCTTACGCTTTGCTTCCCTTTCCCCATGCTGTCGTTTATGGGCTTCATTGTCTCTATTTCTCTTCTACTCCTGCCCTCTTCACAGGCACACCGCCGATACCGCAGCTACTGTTGAGGACATGCTGCCTTCTGTAACTACGGGCACCACTAACTCTGACACTATCACTGAAACTTTTGCCACTGCTCAGAACAGCCCCACCAGTGAGACCACCACCCTGACCTCCAGTATTGCCCCACCAGCCACGGCCATTCCTGACTCAAACGCCATGTCGCCTGGCCAGGCTACTCCAGCCAAAGCGGGAGCTGCCCCGGTCTCTCCGCCACCACCCTCTTCTACGCCCAAAGTGGCTCCCCTTGTTGATCTCAGCGATACCCCAAGCTCTGCTCCAGCTACTAACAATTTGTCTTCAAGTGTCCTGTCCAACCAAGGTGCGGTGCTGAGCCCCAGCACTGTTGCTAACGTGGCCGAGACCTCCAAAGCAGCAGCTGGTAACAAGTCAGCTGCCCCAACCCCTGCAAACCTCACTAGCCCTCCAGCTCCATCAGAGCCCAAGCAGGAGGTCTCAAGCACCAAGAGCCCCGAGAAAGAAGCTGCGCAGCCCAGTACAGTGAAGAGCCCAACAGAGACAGCCAAGAACCCGAGCAACCCGAAGAGTGAGGCTGCTTCAGGCGGCACCACAAACCCCTCCCAGAATGAGGACTTTAAAATGGACGAAGGGACCTTCAAGACACCAGACATTGATCTTGCAAAGGATGTTTTTGCAGCTCTTGGCACTACTACTCCTGCCAGTGTGGCTAGCGGGCAAGCTCGTGAGCTTGCTTCTTCCACTGCAGACAGCTCTGTACCTGCTGCACCTGCAAAGACCGAGTATGGCTGCCTTTAATCTTCTGTTGGTTGTGTGCTGTGTCTCTCGTGCACTGGTGCTTGTGCTGTGTTCTTGTTGGGTGTTCTCTGAACTAATCTCATTCTTTCCGTAGCAAACTAACTCACCAGTGAACTAACTAAGCAGGGCTTGGCTTTAAAGGTTCAGGAGGAAAGCAGGAATAGGCTGTGGAAGGGCAACAAAGACAAACGTAGGAATTCCTCATAAACGTGTGATTCTTTAATTTTTTTGCAGCTTTGCCTATTGTAGATCATTCTTTCCTAAAAGAGATTAGAAACAGTTTGGTTTGGTGCAAAGGAAGTGCTGTCCTCAGAGGCAACGAGTTCCTCCAGTTCAGTGAGCACAGGCACCCAAATTCAGTTTCCCAGCAGATCAGTGGGCCCACTCAGAACTTCTGACTGCATAAGACAGGGCAGAAACTAGAGCCACGTGAAAGTGTAAAAGTGTGAGACCTCTGGATTTGCCCAGAGAGGTTGTGGATGCATCATCCCTGGAGGCATTCAAGGCCAGGTTGGATGGGACCCTGGACAGCCCGATCTGACATGGCAGGGGTTTGGAAGCAGATGATCTTTAAGGTCCCCTCCAACCTAAGGCACTATATGGATTTGTACCTAAAGTAAAGGTCAGTGCAAAAGGGTAAGGTGTTGTGCTTCTCTCTGTGCATTGGTGAGCACTCAGTACGTTTGGGTCAGGATAACTTGCAGTGTCTTTGTTGTCCTGGTACATCTGGGATGAGTCTCCATCCACTGTACTTCATCTCCTTTATACCAGCTGAGAGAGCACCAGCATGCTCCTAGGCAGGACAACACTAGAAGTCCTTTGGGAGCCTTTCCTCAGGTGAGATGAATCCACAGCTTGTGTTTGGCAGAGACACCATAACTGAAGTGAAAACAGCATGAAGTTCTCACCTGCTAACTGGGAGAAGCATCCCCAGCTGTTACACAGATGATGGACAAGAACATCTTCTTGCTCTGTCTGTTTGGACAGTGGTTGGTGGCAGAGCCATTAGAGCAGAAGCCTAGAAAATGCTGATTGAAACAGATAAAGTTCTCTTTAGGAAACAAGTACTGCAGTTCCCAATTCCTTCTGGCTTCCTATATGGACACTGTTGACAGTGGCAGCTTCAACTAGGAGCACCTCTTGTTGCATGAGCGAGGCCTGTGCCTTATTGCTAGAAAGACTCAAAAAGGCAGCTCAGATCTGTTGTGAAAGCAGCTCCCAGAAGCAGGAGGCAGAGACCACGGCAGGACTTTGCCTTTTGCTAAGGAAAGCATGTTGGTGACACAGAGCTCATTCATGATGAACATGAATCCTTGCAGCTAAAAGCTGCTGCCCCGTCGTGCTGGGTGCTATAGAGACAAAGAGAGCAGAGGGTTGTGAGCTGGTGCTGAGCTGAACAATTTAGGAGATGATTTGCCTGTCGTGAGGAAGCATTTCAGCTGAGTGAGTGCAGCTTGGTCTGCACCACGCAAAGGAATTCCTGGTGTGGTGGAACACAGGGCTGTGTTCTTTCTGCCAGAGCAGCCACCTTCTGCCTGTGCTGCCCATCTGCTTCCCCTTCTTGAAACCAGTTGGCAACTGTAGGCTCGGGTCATCTCACCCACTGGTCAGAGTGCAGTGGGGTTCCAGCTGTCTCAGGCTGACTTTGCAGCTAGTGGGATGGAACAGGAAGGCTACGAGGAGTGCCTGGTGTGGCACTTCCCATAGCTGTGAAGAGTGTTGGACCAACAGGCTTCTCTGGTTCTGCAGCAAGTGCCAAGGACAGGTGAAGAATCAGCATTAGGTGATGACCTTCCATATGCTTGTGAAAATGCATTTGACTTACTGTGTTTTTATTCCTGCTGCATACTGTGAAATTATGGAGATGACTTCCTATAGGAAAAGGGATCTACTGCTGAATTGCAGTGTGTTCTAACAGGACGTTAGGTGGCATAAATGAGTGATGGAAAAAATCAAATTCATTTGTGATTGTGTGAGTTATGCTGTTTTCCTGTGGCATTCCACACTGCTGCACACCCTCTGTGCTTCTGCTGCAACCCTCCTGCTACAGTAGCCCAATGCAGGAGGAAATTCCAGAAGGATTTCAGTAGAGCTAAGTGAGCTGGGGGGGGGAGGTGAGTCTGGTTGTCCTTATCTTTGCATCTGTCATTTTGCTCTGTCCAGGAGACACATTTGAGTGTTTCCAGCAACGTCTTCTTTCCTGATCGCTCATCTACCACAGTTGGTCTGTATTTCTCTGTTTCTAAACTGTGCCATTTTGGTGATTCTTCTTCAGGAAAACCCCAGTAGAAGACAAACCTGAAGTGCAAGCAACGGAAACTAAGACACCTCCAGCAGAAGTGAAGACGGTCCCCAACGAAGCCACACAAACAAATGAAAATGAGAGCAAAGCATGATCAGCAACAGATGAAAAAACATGGCAGAACGACTTCACCCAAGCATTTACAACACGAAACACAACACACATCTCATTCCTCTAGTGTCTGTTGCCTTTTTTTTAAAAAAAAAAAACAAACAAAACAGAAAATGCATAAATGGGGAGGGGGGGGTTCTCTCTTTTTTTCTTTTTTTCTTTTTTTTTCTTAAGATTTTTAGGAAGGTTCTATTTGTCGTGCACTTGCTTTTAAAAAGTAATACGTTTTGAAACAGGGTTTAACCCATCACCAGATCGGGGGCTCAGCTGTCCCCTGGTATGTTCAGAATTGCAAAATACCACTTACAGCATCGCTGAGGAGCTCAGAGTCAACCAGTCTTAGATGAAAGGAAAAAAGAGAAAAGAAAAAAGAAGACCCTGTTCTTTCCTTGGTTAGAATAGTAGATATAACCACTGTACTGCTTGCCTACTTGGTACAGGTGGTACTTAGTGAACAAAGTCCACAATTTATTTTTATACTTTTCAGTCAAGTTTGAAATATGTAAAGCCTCATAAATAAGTTATAATTTCTGTTCACCTTGTGTTCAGTATGCAAAGTGTCGTGAGCATTTTGTGGCTGAATTCTGTTCTCCACTTTAGACATTGATTTGGGGGGTTATTCTTTTTGTTAGGAAGAATGCCAAAATTGCAGCTTTGGGGGATGTATTTCAATTTGCAGTATTCAGACTCTACATTTCTTTAAATTTTATGTTAATTTTTGCCAACTTTTGTTCTCTCCAGTGTTTACAATTGACAATTTTTTTTTTAACTTTTGTTGTGTTTAAATGTATTTGTAAAATAGCTGCCTTTTTTTTTTTAAAGTAAATCCAGACTCTAGCTACTAGGTTAGCAGCATGCTTGCTTTGCAAAGGGAGACATTTTAAAATATCGATGTTTACAGTAGTTTCCCCTTTATCTTTTTTAATTATTATTATTATAATTATTATTATTATTATTTCTTACTGGAGTAAGAAAAAAAGAGTAATGCTGGTCTTTGGTTTGTTTTTGGGGGGTGGGGCGTGGGGAATATCCCAACCACTTGTCACCAATCGAGGTCTGTATCCAGCAATCCACATAAACACGCTTAACTTCGAACAAGAGAGTTGCTGGTGAGAGTTTCCTTATATACTTAAATTTATTACGAGTGTAAGTCCCTTGCTGGACCTGGGCCTGACTGCATAAGAAAAATATCATCTCTGCTTTTTTAGGACATTCTTCTCTTTCCTTCATGGAACCCTCCCAGAGCTTTGAGAAGCAGAAGAGGGATTGTACAGTTAGGGCTGGGCTGGTCTTGTCTCCGCTGTTTGACTGCATCCATTTCTCCTTAGAATGTTGATGACTGCCATTTCCTTTGACCCCAGAAACTGATTTAAAAGCATTGACTTTCCGCACTTAAATAAAGTTTCCTTTTGAGGAGTGGAAACACTAAAAACAGAATGTTCTGCTCTCATGCGGGTGACGTTCATGAGCACAGCAGCATGCAGGTGTCCCTACTCATTGCAGGGGAGTTGGACTGGGTGACCTTTACGGGTCCCTTCCAACCCAAACAATTCTGTGACTCTCCGTAAGACCCCTTCTGCAAGGACAGCGCCAGCACACCGTGTCTGTTCAGTCATCCACGTATGCTCTGCATCATCCAAACCATGTAGCCATGGCTGAGCGCTTGGGCATCAGTGCCAACACTCCCGTTGATGTCCCTGCTCTTTGCACCATGCCTTTAGCAGCCAGAGAAAGGGGCTGACGTCACACGTGCATTGTTGTGGTCATCACTGGGAGTCGTGGAGTAACACTGGGACTTTGGAGTGGGGAGAAGAGAAGGTTGAGCAGAAGGAAGGCGGAGGAAGGCCAGCCCGTTGTATAGAGGTGCTCCTTCTCTGGGGGTTTTGCTTTGTTTGTTTTTCCTTTGATTTCCTTTTTTTTTTTTCTACTTTAGATCTGCAAGCTTGTGCACTGTGGGTGCGTGACTTTTAGTGTGAAACGTGTTTTTTGTCATAGTATTGAAATAATTGAAAAAAAAAAAAGCTTCAACATAGTTTGGATGTGGAAGGTGTAGCGAATAGTTCAGATTTCAAATATATATATTCAGGAGAAAAAAAAAAAAGAGAACAACTCTTAGAAGGAACACAAGCCTTTAAATGACAAACCCGAGCTGACGATGTTGCGTCGTGCCATGGGGACGAGCAGAAGGGTGATGGGGTTGGGGAGACCACGCTTGGCTCCGGTGAACTGAGCCACTCTCGTTGGTGTGTCCTTCTGAGTGTGCAGTTTTTTACAGTGGCATCACATGATTTCAAACAGTGAAAAACAGTGGTTTTGTCATTTGCTAAGTGTGGGGTTTTTGCATTTTTTCCTCAGCTCCTGGGGATGGAAGTGGAGGATGGCTGGATGTGCAGGCGCAGACACTCAGGCAGTACCATCCCAGGCAGGACAGCAGGGCAGGACAGGTCCTCACTTGAAAGCCTTGTGTCAGATTCGACCCATGCTTGCCCCGTGACAGCAGTGTTGGTGTAAGTAAGGCGAAGTTTGGTCCGTGGTCCCCAGACCTTACGTGTCATGCCTCCCTGAGCAGCAACAGGAGCAAACGCTGCTCAGCACAGTGACCCGGAGTGGCATGTCCAGTGCCACTGCTCAGCACCCATCGGCTGGCACTGTGGTGGCTGCCACCCAGACTGGCATTTCTGCCACATAAGGCCACCAGCCCAGGGCCCCATCCGGCACCTGGTGTCACAGTGCCCAGAGCCTGCTGGGCTGTGTCTCGTGGATGGAGCCTCTGTCCTGCTCCCTTAGTGCCCCTGTGACTTCCCCATCCCCAGTACCCTTAGATTAATTTTGGAGAGCGTTTTTATACTTGCCCTTAACGGAGAATAATTTGTTTTAATTTATAAATATCCCATTCCCAAGGTAGCTTAGGCTTCATTGCTTTTATTTAAACCTTTGAAGAGGGACCAACCTGATGCCGTTTGCGCTGTATATGTTTATATATGTATCCATGCCATACATATATATATCTATATGGCAACTCAGACTGATCAGCTTCTAGTTGTGGAGTGACTACATTTCATGCTGCACCATACGTAATGATGATGAGGTAATAGTGCATCCAGTTGTTCAGCTTTTAGAGTGGAGTTTTATTTTCACACTTTTCTATGGAGCCTTCAAACCCCAGGTTTTCACACTAGGCTGTTTTGATAGTTGTTCTCAGACCTCCACTGACATCCTTACCCAGCATTCCCTACTTTTGGGGGCCTTCTATCTTGTTAAAAAAACAAAAAAACAAAAAATCTTTTTACCGAGTGAAACATCAATTCCACCTTTATTCCCATTCTCACTGGTGTAAATACTGATACTAACTGAGGATTTTGACTTTGCATTCTGTCAGAATACTGTGTTCAAATAAAAATTACAAAAAAAAAAAAAAAAAATACCAACAAAAAACCTCATGCCTGCAGTCTGCACTTCTTCAGATGTCAGCAGTTGTGTACGGAGCAATTCTGGAGTGCCGGGTGCCACAGAGAGGAGCATTGGTCAGGTCTGTCCTTCTGTTCCACCTACATTACTGCCTTGAGATGACAAACACACCGATGCTGTTGAATGTTGCTGTGAACCCGAGTCAGCTGGGTGTCCCATAGGGAGGCTGAGTGGCGTGTGCGTGTGTGTGAGTGTTGGCTTCAAAAGGTGTTAGTAACGTGTCCCAAGTCGTGTCCCTGCACATGGATGATGCTGGAGTAATCAAACTGCATTTAATTCTATCTTAAGCATTGATTTCTCCTACAGTATTCTGGACAAGTAGCAGCTCGTGGCCTGGACCGGTACACACTGCTGGGCAAAGAACTGGGTGCACTGCTGGGTTCCCCAGGGGTCGGTGTTGGGGCCATCCTGTTCAGTGCCTTTATTGATGATCTGGATGAGGGCACTGAGTGCATCCCAGCAGGTTTGCAGACAGCTCCACGTGGGGGGAAGCGTGCATCTGCCCGAGGGCAGGCAGCCCTACAGAGGGAGCTGGACGGGCCGATGGCTGGGCTGAGGCCAACGGGACGGAGCTCAAGCAGCCGAGTGCCGGCTCCTGCGCTTCGGCCACAACAACCCCACGCGGCGCCGCAGGCTTGGGGCAGAGCGGCTGCAAGCTGTGCGGAGGGAAAGGAGCCGCGGCTGTCGGTCGGCGCTCGGCTGGGCGTGAGCCAGCAGTGTGCCCAGGTGGCCGAGAAGGCCGACGGCAGCCTGGCTGTGTCAGCAGCAGCGCAGCCAGCAGGAGCGGGAGGTGAGCGTCCCCTGCACTCAGCTCTGTGAGGCCGCAGCTCGGCGCTGTGCTCGGCGTTGGGCCCCTCGCTGCAATGCAGGCGTGGAGGCTGGGAGCGTGCAGAGAAGGGAACGGAGCTGTGAGGGGTCTGGAGCACAATGGGGTGCGATGGGGAGCGGCTGAGGGAGCTGGGGTTGTTCAGTGTGGAGAAGAGGAGCTCAGGGGAAACCTCACTGCTCTCTGCAGCTCCCTGACTGGGGGCTGTGGTGGGCTGGGGGTCGGCCTCTTCTCCTGGGGAAACAGCAAGAGGACGAGAGTTGCTCCAGGGGAGATTAAGGTTGGATATTAGGAGAAACTTCTCCAAAAGAGTGGTCATTGGAACAGCTGCACAGGGAGGTGGTAAAGTCCCTGGAAGTATTCAGGAAATGTGGAGACTGAGGGACACAGTCAGTGGGCAACATTGGTGGTAGGTGGACGGTTGGACCGGGTGATCTTCAAGGTCTTTTCCACCTTAATGATTCTATGATTTCCCAGGACATGGACTGAAAAGCTGAGAGCTCTGCTGTACATCAGTCCTTGGTTGCTGGAATTGCACACAGAGAATAACACAGGTACGTGTATTGAGCTGTAACACTTGTTATCCCACACAGAGCTCTGCCATTTCTGCACCCCCAGCAGCGCCGTGCTCTGCTCTGAGCGCAGCTCGGCATGCTGTGCAGCAGGGCAATGCTGGAGCAGAGCTGCTGGGAGAGACCACATAAACCACATAAACACATAAACCACATAAACCACATATGCCGCTGCTTTACACAAGCTTGTCCCCATCTCCTCGGAACACAACAGTGGGCTGAAGCAGTCACAGTCAATGTTAATTGGCAGCGTGGCTTCCATAGGAAAACCACTTCTTCAGGGTCTGGGAATGTCCCCTTTTGGGGCTGAGCACCAGCCCGAGGTAACACAGATACACTTCCCTCCATTGTTTCTTTTCCAACTGAATTCAGCTGAATAAAGTCTCCTGCGCAAGCTGCACTTGATGTTGCATCACTCGGCGTCCTTCTCCTCTCCAGCCCTTCCTCAGCTGCTCCACCCGAGGCAATGTCAGTGCGGCCATCCCGTGACACACGGCGCCGAGCACGCGGTGACAGCGGCGGGCAGTGGGACGGCATCACCCGGGGTTCTGCAAGCTGTCATTCACCCGGCACGGGGAATTATTTGTGGTGTTGATTTAAATGGCAAAGCACAGAGCAAACAGCATCACTGCTCCGAAGCTGAAATCTGCAGAGCCCAGGAGGGAGGCACCTCCAAAACAGCCCTAGCTTAGCAACGAGCTCTTTGTGCTGTGTGCGGCTTAACCGCGATAGCTTTTACTCTCTTTGATCTTCGGGGTGGCTTTATTCCCTGGATTTCCCAAGACAACGAACACACACTGCACCACAAGGCAGCGCTGCAGTCGCAGAACGCGAAATGGCGGCCTGCGACCCCCCGCCTCCCTGCGCGTAGCCACGCCCGCTCTTAGCGTAGCCACGCCCCTACTCTCCCTCCGTGTTGTCGTTACGTCAGCAGCGTGTTATCCATGGCAACACCGCAGACGCTGCGCAACCTGCGGCCTCCCGCCATGGCCGCGCTGGCCGACCCACAGCAGGAGGAAGAATTCCAGCGCTTCCTCCGCCGCGTGGACGACATCAGTGAGTGCGGCAGAGGGGGGGCGAAACGGCCGGGAGATGGAAGGGGGAATGAATGGAACACTCCTCGTCCACATCTTGCCTGTCGGGTCTCCCCAGGCCGCCTGGTGCAGGGCTTGAGCTCTGCGGACGCCGCTGTCCGGGACGGAGCGATCGCCGAGGCGGACCGGCGGCTCCGGGAGCGGCGGGGCAGCGAGCAGAGCGCGGCCGGGGTGGACAGGACGGTGATCAACACGAGCCATCCCGTACAGGTTTGTGCCCCGCTCCTGTGGCCCTGCCTTCTGCACGTGGTGCTCTTTCAACTCCTGCCAAGCAGAAAATCTCCAACGATGCGTAAGGGGAGCTCAAAGCCCACCCAGTGCCACCCCCGGCCGTGGGCAGGGCTGCCCCCCACCAGCTCAGGCTGCCCAGGGCCCCATCCCACCTGGCCTGGAGTGCCTGCAGGGATGGGGCACCCACAGCTCTCTGGGCAGCAGCGCCAGCGCCTCACTGCCCTGACCAAAGGATTGCTTCCTCACAGCTCACCCACATCTCCACTCCTTCACTTTAAAGCCATTCCTCTTTGTCCTGTCACTGTAACGCCATGTAGGAAGTCAATCCCCTGCTGCTTGTAAGCTCCCTTCTGGTGAAGGCGTACTTCACCACCTATTCCACTGCTGCTATGGATTCTACTGAATTATCCATATGCAAACTTACATGTGCTTTACTTCTCTTTTTTTTTTTTAGGATTCTGTGAACACAGAGGCAGTGCACACAGGTAAGGCAGTGCACACAGGTAAAGCGGTGCTCCCTGCAGCCCTCAGCACCCCTTCTGTCTGCAGTAGCAGTGGTGCACTGAGGACTACTCTTAGCTCACACAAGACCTTGTTCCACTGCCACTAAAGTGGAGGCAAACTCTTTGGACACATCTAGAAATGCATCTGTGGCTCATACCCGTGTGGCTGAGCATGTCCATTGGTGTAGCTTGATGCTGCATGTTAAAGGCTGTTCTTCTGGATTCAGAAAGAAAGAAATGCCTGTCTGGAGGTGAGCTGCTTTGTGGAAAGTACAATCCTAAGAGCTTAGATGTGTAATACGTTCCCATTCCAGTTTAATTTCCAAAGTGTTTCCTTCAGATTTTCTTACAATGTGGTGGATGCCCCATTCATGGAGACTTTCTAGGCAAAGCTGGATCAGGCAACTGGATCAGGCCCTGGGCAACCTGATGGGGTTGTGCATGTCCCTGGGCATTGCAGGGGAGTTGGACTAGATGGCCTCTAAAGGTCCCTTCCAACTCTAAGGATTCTATGATTCTTTGTAGAGAAATGGCTCAGATATACCTTGGAAATGACTTTTTTTCTTGTATGCAATTCAATTTTTAATCAAGTAAATTTTTCTTAATTAATTTTTCATAACAAAAATGCCACCAACTCTCCTCCTGCCTCCAAGAGGGCTTTCTGGCTGCTTTGGAGAAGGATGCAAAAGAACGAGCTGAACGAAGGAAGAGAAATGAACGTTTAGCAAATGGTAATCAGCAGGGGCTCAAGCAGCTGATGCCTTGGGGAGGTACCCAGCTGGTGTGCTTTGAGATGTGTCACTGCATGGGGACAAAACAAATGCCAAAGTGTTACTTGGAGTGTGTGCATATTGTTCTGCAGCTCTGAAGGAGAAGGGAAACGATGCCTTCAGGAAAGGGGACTACAGCACAGCTGCCCAGAGGTACACTGATGGCCTGCAGAAGCTGAAGGATGTGCCGGAGCTGTACACCAACAGAGCACAGGTCAGTGCAGGAGCTGCTGGCGTGCTGACCAGAATACTGCTCTCTGTGTTCTGTTAGTGGCACAAGGCCTGAAAAGGATGGTTCTGCTTCCTGTGGGAGTTTCACAAAAGGTGATGGGTGTTGCTTGACTCTGAGGCTTAGAAAAGGGACTTCTTTGGCTGTGTTTCAGGCCTACCTGAAGATGCATGAATATGGAAAAGCCATTGGTGACTGTGAGTGGGCGTTAAAGGTACGTTCAGTTCTGTGGTCAGGTCGAGTGTTTGTGTGCAGCTGTCAGTACAGAGATGGCATGCTAATGGCAGTGGGAATATGTTGCAGGGAGATATTTGAAGTTTCTAAACACTTTGTGTGAAATTCCTTTTTTAACAGTGCAATGCAAAATGCATCAAAGCCTATTTTCTAATGGGGAAAGCTCACCTGGCGCTTAAGCACTATGATGAGGTGAGTTGACTAATTCTTGTCTGCTAGACCATGCCTGTGATTTTGATGTGATGTTGTGGGTGAAGGGACTAATCTGTTGTCTTTTGCCTCAGACAGGCGTGTACATGGAGCTTGAAAGAGATTCTGTCCTCCTGCAAAGACAAATAATTTTAAAATCTAGTCTTCTTTCTACTTCTTGTGTCCTTTCTGATGGTTTGCTCAGGTGTGGCAACTGCACTGGCAGCCTGCAGGCAGAGAGGCAGCGCTGTGCACAGTGGCCGTGCTTTGTCTGGTGGGGATTTGTCGCCACTTGGCGACAAATGAGCAAAGTGTATTTTTACCTTTTTATCCTGAATTGCTCTGCTGCACAGAGCAATTAAACCGCATAGCAAAAAGAGGTGATTGTATGTCACCTCTGAAGGAGGAAAGCTCCCTGCATTTCGGGTTAACTGAACTGTTAAGGTGAAAGCTGCTAATGGGAGTGATAATGTTTCTTTTTCTTTCTGTGATGCTGAATGTCAAACAAAAGATTCAGTTCCACATTCATGTCTGAAGTCCTGATGGGAGCTGAAAACTGTTAAAATAATGGAACATCAAAGCTTTGGTTTGCTTCCTTCTGTAAATATTATTCCTCAGACTTTTACAGTTGTGTAGGCCAGGAACTGACAGCCAGGAGTGTTAGCACCTCCTCATTCCTCTTTGAACATAAGAGCCTGTTTCTTTTCTGAATTAAGTCCAGGCAGTGCTACCAGAAGCTCTTACAACTTGATCCCCAAAAGAAAATTTTATTTAAAGGTAAGGAGTGTCAGTTTTGCTACTCTTGTCTCTTGGTTTCTGATCAGAACGTTCTGTTAACTTACTTTGATTTCTTTTGCTTTCCAAGATTGCATGAATGAGGTTAACTTGGAGGAGAAAAGAATGCAAGAAGAAGACAGAGCGATGAAAGCATTTCAGTCCGGAAAACATGCAGCTCTGTCCATAAAAGATCTGCTGCAGAAACTCAATAGGCCAAACCAGAATATCTTCTACTATACGGGAGGGATCCAAGTTCTGATAGGAGCTGTGAAGGAGTGTGAGTGTTTGATGCAAAGCTTGTTTCCATGAGGGGTTGTAACCCACCCGGGTGGATGAATACAACAGCAGCAGTTTTTGAAAGACCAAAAGCCTCTGTTGAAAAAAACATATAACAAACGGTGTTTGCTATTTCAACGTTTATGTACAGTGGATGTTTCTTTTTCTTTTTCTTTTTTTTTAATAACCAATTCTGTAGCTGAGCTGTTGATACTTCCTAAGGACTTAGTCATGTCATAGAACCTTAGAACGGCTCAGGTTGGAGGGGAGCTCAAAGCCCACCCAGTGCCACCCCCGGCCGTGGGCAGGGCTGCCCCCCCACCAGCTCAGGCTGCCCAGGGCCCCATCCCACCTGGCCTGGAGTGCCTGCAGGGATGGGGCACCCACAGCTCTCTGGGCAGCAGCGCCAGCGCCTCACCGCCCTGACCAAAGGATTGCTTCCTCACAGCTCACCCACATCTGCCCTCTTGTAGCTTAAAACCATTCCTCCTTGTCTTGTCACTATAATTTAAGAGGTCTCAAATTACTTTTGAAAAGTTTGCAGTCCTCTGTTGGAGAATAATGATTTGCAGGACCAGTCTCCTGTTTAAATCCTCATAAAAACCCTTGAACATGAAGTCAGTCTTTCTCCACTGCACCAGGCATCAATTAGAGTGGTCTTCCACTTCAAAGCTGTTTCTGCTTCAAGTGCTCTTGAAGTTTTTCCCCTTTTCACATTGCAAACCTCCTTTCCCCAGAGCTGTTGATCCAGTGACCTTTTCCTTCAACGCTGTGTTGCAGCAGAGCAGGTGTCTGCCTTCGCCATGGTGCGTCAGCCAGATGGCTCACAGAGCTGACTTGTTTCTCTCTGCCTCTTTCCAGGCACTGAGCAAACTTTATTTAGAACAAACAATGGGTTCAGTATCATCAATGACAACGAGGTCATAAGACGGTAAGAGCTCTCCAGAAGAGAACAGAAGCACGTTACAGCATGAGGAAGTGACAGTGTTGTTTTCGAGAAACTCAATCGCCTCACGAAACGCAGATGAAATGATCACAAGATAATGAAATAACTGCTTGTGATGTCTGAATAGACTGACTTGTATCTGACCCAAACAAGTAGGGCTCTTTTGGATGCAGTGGACTCATGAGTTTCTGCTTCTGTCTCTGATCTCTTATTTCTGCACAGTTCCCCTATCTCTAATGGTGAGAGCAAGGCTGTAAAAGCTTACTGGAAGAGAACAGCTGATATAAAAGCATAGTTACCTGAAGTATGTCTGGCTGGACATCAATAAATGTCTCACCTCAGCTCTGCAAAAACTCTCCTCAACCTGTAAAATTGTTCAGTCCTGTAACTGAGGGGGGGATTCCCTCTGGGTCCTGTGTTCTCTGCTGCTGTGTGTTCAGGGCAGCCATTAGATGTTTTGGTAACCAAGAAACAAATCCAGTTCAATCGCTTTCTAAACTGTGTCCTATAAGGGATCTCTTGCCTAGTAGATCATAGACGCAAGCAAGATCCGCAGGGAAGATGTGATCTGAAAATTTTGCACAACTAAGTTTGTTTGGAACAGTGCGACCTGGTTGGAAAAGGGAAGAGCTGTTCTGCGTGCTTCCAGATTCGCACCACGCTCTCCCTCCCTGGCTCACCACAGTCAGTCAGTGCAGAACTGAACACATTACAGTGCTGCATACTGATTGTGGGTGGTCTGTGTGTGCTCAGGGCGGTTAGAATCAGCAAAACATCAGTCTGGCATTGGAGGAGGTCGTCTGGAAGGCACATCTGGTTAAACGCTGGTATTAGAGCTTATGAGCTTAAGTGTTTGTATGGCAGATCCTCATCGCTGTGAGGCTTTCCTGATGTCCCCAGCCAAAGAGCTAACCCTGTTTCATCTGCCCCGCGTTCCTTTTGCAAGCTAATGTTTTTCATTTAGGGGCTTCTGTGCAGGAAGAAAGAGCACTGCTGAAGTGGATCTGTGTGTTTCTCTTCTCTCCCTTTGGCAAGCTGTGTGCGCTGGGAATGGTAAAAATGTGATCAACATTAATCATTGTTCATGTTCTGTTAATATTGCACATACTGGGTCTAAAATTGTTGTTTGGCACAAGCAATCGCTTTCCCAGAGCACTTGGGTCTAGGCCTTGCTGTCAGCAAAGCTTTGTGAGGGTTGAAGCTATTCTGCTGAGCGCTGCTTCAGCACGGGGCTGAGTTTCCAGTCTGTTTCTGTGCCCATCTTATGTATGCTGAAGGGGCAGAAAGTCAATTCCCTGTGATTATTGCTGGCTCTTAAGATAACATCACGTTCGTTTTGTCTTTTTAAAGCAGTTCTACCTGTAAAAAGCAGGAGTGCTGTTAGAGAAGGGTGAATTCCTTTGGCATCGGCAGTAAGGGGTCGTTGGTTGGGTAGCTCATGCCTCTGTTTCCCTGAGGTTTGCAGGGAGGTCGGGAGCAGATTGAAGTGGTGAAGTGGTGCAGGCTGCCGTGGGGAAAAGAAGAGTGCTTGTGCCTGCACTTGTGTTCTCTTGTGTGTTGCTGGGTCCAGCTGATGCATGAGGAATTGTGTAGTTAGTGAGAGCAGGAGTGATGACGGGGATTGCATCGCCTGTGACATTGTACTTAGATTCCTCTTTTTGCAGAAGAAAATCAGCGGCTGCTGTTGACTCACCCTGATGTGAATGCACAGCTGTTGGAATTGCTGTGTTCTGGTGTGTTGGAGATCCAAAAGGAGACGCTGGCTCTAATTGCTCTCTATTCAGATAATGAGAATGGGAGGAGACTGTTGATTAGGCACCAGGACCTATCCAGGTAACAAATGCAACTATAATTTGGTAGAACTCCCTTTACCCTGGGCTTGCAGAGGTCCAAAGCTCGCTCCACTGGCACCAAGCAGAGCACCAGGTGGGTGACAGGCTTCTGAAAGGGGTGTCATGATGTTGAGACTTAGGCCAAGGTGAGCAGAAGTGGGAGTGAGGTGTAGGGAGACAGCAAACTTTTGCACTGGAGATGTCTGTGAAGCTAAGCAGCTAAGCTAAGGAGGTCCTCCTTTCTGAAGAGGTGTAACTTGGAAGCATAGTTATGCTTTTTAAACCAGTAAGGCTGTGTGCCTAGCACTCCAGTAAGAGCTGCCATCGTTGCCTCTTGGTATAGCTCATGCTTTCAAACAGCTGCTCTCTCCTCATCTGGCAGCTGGCATTTATGATGAGTCGGTGTTGCCAAGGCTCACTAAGTGGAGAAATAAAAAGCCTGTTACCTCATTGCTCTCGTCCTGCCATTTCCTTCTTAGAATGGTTTGGGTGGGAAGAGGTCTTTAAGGTCATCTAATTCCAACTCCCTGCTATAGGCAGGGACACCTCCCCCTGGACCGGGTTGCTCACAGCCCCATCCAGCCTGCCTTGAACACTTCCAGCGAGGGACTATTCACAGCCTCACTGGGTGACCTGTTCCAGTGTCTCACCAACATCACAGTAAAGAATTTCTTCCCAATATCTAGTCTAAATCTACCCTCTTCCAAGTTTCCCCAGTTAACCTGTGTTAACCAGAGCAGAAATTTTTAATGTGCTACTTTGCACTAAAAATTTAAACCAGTGGATGAACAGAACAGGTTCTCCACAGATGTGTACTTCACTGTGTTACATACAATGTTCATCCCAAGACCTGTAAAGCTTCTTGGTTAAAACACCCACTCACGCCCAAAAACTGTTGGGTTTGCTCAGCACGTCCTTCTAAACCACACAGTCATCACCAGTGATCTTCCCTGCAAATGTCTTTAATAATTAGGCCAAAGCTGACATGCAGTTTTTTTCTCTTTTTTTTGTTTATGACAGATGGCTGCAGATATTGGTGACGTTTGTCAACAGCACTGATGCCAGGGCTGGCAGTGCCATGAGTATTCTGTCGGATTTAATTCAAGAGGAAAAGTAACTTGCACTTTTTCCTTTTTTTTAATAAGTTACAATAGTATATACTAAGTGACCTTCTGATAGAGGCTGCCAGCCTTCTTTACTCATTTTACCTTCTCTATATGTTGCTGTTTTGTTGCTTATATCTGTTTGTTTGTCTGTTATTCTAAAGCTCTAAGTGTCCAAACATGGCTTTCTTTATCCTCACAGGTTCAAAGCACAGTGTCGCCTCACGTTTTCCACATCTGTTTTACCATTGTTCATCCAACTGCTGGTATGAAAGGTCTTAATTTCTGTGTTTCCAACATATTCTTCTATAACATGTCTCATGACAACTCCTTCCAGCATATAAAGGGGCTGTGAGAAGGGAGGGGACGGACTCTGCAGTGGGTCTGTGTGATGGGAGAAGGGGAGATGGCTTCAGACTACAAGAGGGGAGACTGAGGTGGAGCTGAGGAAGAAGGTTTGGCAGTGAGGGCGGTGAGGCGCTGGCACAGGTTGCCCAGAGAGGCGGTGGTGCCCCGTCCCTGCAGACAGCCAAGGTCAGGCTGGACGGGGCTGTGAGCACTGCTGAGCTGTGGGTGTCCCTGTGCGCTGCAGGGAGCGGCACCAGGCGGCCTTCAGCTCCCTTCCACCCAAACCATTCTGTGATTCTATGAAAGATCCTGAAATCTCAGTCAGAGAGATAGGAGCACCCGTATGTTGTAATTTGCTCTTAATGTGTTCTTCTACTCTTCTGTTTTTAGGCCTCAGCCAAGCAGGTGGACCAGGCAGCCCTCTCACGTTGCATTGGCATCATGGGGAACCTGTGTGCAGATGCAGCCATCCGAGTGCAGATGGCAGAGTGCAGTGAGTGCTGGCAAGCCTGCTTACAGCTGGTGGTAAGGAGGCTTGGTGGCTCCCTATAGCAGCATTTTCTGCCCTGCTGCCTCTGAAAATGGCACCTGTGTGATGTATTTGTGCCTCCCCCAGCAGCGCTGAACCTCTGAGTTGATCACACTTTTCTCTCCTTTGTGCACAGGATGGATGTGCTGATGTTGGCACACCCAGATATCGGGAGTGTGTGTTTGCAGTGCTGGGCCTCATGATGAACTTACTGCTTGAATCAAACTCCGTCATCCAGGTAAATGAGACCAGAGATGTTCTTTGGTAGCTTTCTTCCTGTGATCACTTTCTTGGTGATACAAAATTCTGTGAGCAGTTTGAGCACCTTCCTCCCTTGTTACTGTAAATGGGCCCCATGAACGTTCTGTAGCTAAATGGGAACATTTTGATAGAGTGAGAGAGGGAATGGCTACAGAACAGCACGAGCCTCACAGTCTGTACCAGGAGAGGAGCACAGCTATGCTGTGTGGATGTAGAGCCTTCTTTCACAACAAACGTGCTGAGATGCTCCTAAGGCTCCAACATCAGATTTTGCTGGTGTTTGGTTAATTGTTAATTTTTGTTGGTGTTTAAGGTTACCAGTCGGGGTCTTTGGCAGTTCAAGTAAGCTAAAAAGCAGAAGAATGTAAGAAATGTCCATTAACACCACCCTGTGTAAGCATCTAAATGTGCTGCTGAGGGACGGGGGTTATGGTGGTAGGTGGATGGTTGGATGAGGTGATCCTGGAGGGCTTTTCCAACCATAACTATTCTATGATTCACCCACAGACACACAGTTTTGACAAAAATGCAGCGTAAGGCATAGATGGCTCCATGCCATCGTGTTGCAAATGGTTTGTTTTGCATCAGTCTCCAATTGTGGAATGTTCTTAGGTGCTTGGCACATCTCAAAACTACTTTAAAGTAAAGAAACATTAAAAAAGAACAACTGCTGAAGAGTTATTAATTGGGGCCATGTGTGCCCCCATCTCCATTTGTAACATAGAGCAATTTGTTACATTCAAGCATTTCTGCTTGAATGCTTTGTGGCAGTCAGCTGTTCCTGAGCTCTTGGCTTTGTTTTGCAGTGCCTTGCTTTGGACATAAGTGGCAGATGCATGTCCCTGCTCAGGGATCAGGATGGAAGAACTGTGACAGTAAGTAGACATGTCTGCAGTAAGAAAAGATCACATTGCTCAGTCAGACCTGAACACTGCAGTGCCAAATCCTGACCTGTGCAAGCTTTGCGGAAGCCTTTCTGTTAGGCTTTGAAGCCGAAAACAAATGGTGAATATTAGTAGAAGCAACAACAAAAAATAACATGGCCCTTGGATTATTTATATTCTGGTTGATGAAAGAGATGTTCAGTGTTTTCTTGAAACCTACAAAGTAGAAGCCTGCATAAATCGTTTCATCCTTTGGATGGTTTTCAGTGCAAAGCATTAAATCAATCTGGAAGCAAAGGAGCAAGAACAGTTTGGGTGTTTAACAGCTGTTCCTTTTTATAGTTCCTGTTGTGAATCATTCCTAGGACATTGTACCCCTACTAATGGTGTGTAACTCCCACATATAGTAATTATTCAAGGCAAATGGGTGGAAGCAGATGTGGTCTCAGCTGGGAGTCTCTTCACCTCTCTGAACTCACATGAGCTGTTCTGATCTGTTTTATGTGCAATTAGAGGCTCAAGTTGTCACTGGTGCTATTTGTTTCAAAAAATAAGTGTGCAGAGTGTCCTTGATCATACTTTGGTATCACCCCCCTGTATTGGAATCTTTAGAAGCTGTGCTGAGCTCACTTTCCAGTAAGCAACAAAAAAAGCTGCGTCCTAAAGATGTTCTTCATTATATTTCTGTAAACTTCTCCTTTTGTCATTTCAGTGACTTCGGGTTTGTTCTGCCATCTGGAAAACCAAAATAATTTGAAAACTCTTTAAATAAATTTGTCTGTACAAATAAATGTTGGGCATTTTTTTCTTTTCTTCCACACTTTTCTTACTCAGAGAGCCATTGGAGTGCTGAGTCGCATCCTGGCAGCATCCCCACTGGCAGTAGAAGAAGCAGTGAAAGGAGGAGTGGTGAAGAAAATGATCAAATTCTTGAAGGTAAAGTAATTCCACTGATTTCACTTTGTTTTTCCTTTCGAAGTCCCTAAAGAAAACCTAAATTGCCCCTGCATTCAGCCTCCTTTCCCAAGGAGAAAGACCTGTGCAGTCACTCTGCATGTGTTTGCATCCATTCCATCAGAGTGCTGGGGCTCTCTAGCACAATTTCAACAAGTCTGGAGCATAACTGCAGCCTTGTAGTCTGTATCCCAAATTTCTGAGTTGTTTCTCCGTGTGCCAAATGCCCCTACAGCTCTACTTGTGGAGATCTGCAAATGCAGGAATCCACTACTGCAGGCTCCATTGCAGGATTAAAGCTTAAGATGGGGTGATAAAATCTGGACCACTGAAAGGCAATGGAGCCCTTTGCCCTGATGACCAGTGAGTGCTGAATCAGGCCAGGAGGAATATATCCCCTGTCTGTAGGCACTGCTTGGCTGTGTATCTGTGCACTGATGGAGTTTGTATCCACGCAGCCTTGTGCAGATGCCAGACTTGCTGTCCTGCAGATTGGAGCAGCCTAAACAAAAGACTGTAACAGTCTAACTCCTGTAATTAGCAAGCACCAGAGCTGTTGGAAGGAAACTGGGCTCCAGAGATTGAGATAATTCTGTATGTGTGCTGCTGGCAGGGAAGAATGGTTTCTATTCTATTTTTCAATCTCTGTCCATTCTGAGGTCTTTATTTGGGATATGATCTTAGGCATAGTGAACAACTGTATCTGTGGTACCTAAAATGTTTTGTAACCTTAAGTTGGGGCATGGACTGTATGCTTATTAGTTTACACTTTATTCTAATCCAAATCTAGGCTGGAGGACAGACCACATCCAGTTACGCTATAAGGACTCTTTCCATCTGCACAAGAAGCAGCAGACAAGCCCAGGAAGAGGTGGTAAAGTCAGATAAGAGTAAGTGACAGCTTCACTAATTAGAGAGAGAATGCAAGAATCTCAGCATTGCTCACCTACTTTCCTCCCTTCTAGGACAGAGATCTACACTTGTTTTACTCTTGCAAGACTTCTGTCATGTTTTCTAAGAAATCCTTAACGAGCCTTAGTTTGTGTGGATGCAAACGTGCATCAAATAGAAAACTTGGGTTAGAGAAACTGCCCTTTACATTCATAAAATGGTTTGAAATACTTTTTTGGGAGGGCAGAAATCTCTGAAAATTCTGGAAATGCAACCCAATTTCTGTTACAATTCAGAAGTTGGTGGCCAAAAGATGAAGCTGTGTTTAGACAGCTGAATTCCAGAGGTCGGGGTTGCTTACAGGTTCCTTCAAATTCTGTGGACATTTGGTCTTATATTAATATATGATGGTCTCATATTAATAAAACAAATAATAATAATAAATAATATTTGGTCTCCTATTAATATACTAATAGGAAATGGGTGAGGAGGTGGATTGCCAGTATCAGACTGGTGGGTGTCTCGGGGTATTTTTGAGTTATTAATGTTTGCTCCGGTTGTGTGGTATAACACTACTTAGATTGCTTTAAAACCCAGATTCAATTAGTGCTTATGTAATTACCACAGAGAATACTTAAGTGTGATCTAAATAGTTGAACCTGTCAAGAAATTGTCAGCTCATGTAGCTCTGCTTGAACCCAAAGGATTTTCACTCATTAAAAGCCTCTCAGAGCATCATCTTCCTTTTGTACACCCAAATTAGTTTCACTGTCATCTGCAGATGAAGCTTCCGTTTCCTCAGATAGCAAGAGCAATTCTCATTGTTTTCACCAAAATTCTGGATATTCACCTTGTGAAAAGTCACTATTTCTGTCATCATTTTGCTAACACAGACTTAGCTCTGCTGCTAGGAGATTCATTCCTGTTGGAACTGAGCTGTAAAACCCATCACAGTGCGAGATCTCTTAGTCAGCAAGCAGCAACGGCGGCGCGTTCAGATTCAGGGGAATGTGTAACAAATGGAGCAACACAAAGTCTGTACTGAAGAACCTCTTGGTGTGCAGATGTGTTTTGCTGGGACAGATGTGTTCACAGGTGAAGAGGAGAAAGCACATGGCACCCTGAGCCTGGAGAAGCAATGCTTTTGCTCTCCCAGGTTTTCTAGGAAAATATTTCCCCATGGAACAGTGTTGGGGGTTCTGCACTATTGCTTAGATAAAAGCAGCAGAAGATATTGTTCATTGCAGGGCAGTTGGACTAGATGACTTCTAAGGGTACCTTCCATGCCAAAGGATTCTATGATATCAGTGCTATTTGAACAAGTCTGGGCTCACTGTATACGTGAAATCTTTCTTGTTCACAGAGTTCAGCGTACTGCTGAAGCTCCTGGACTCAGAAAATGAAATGATTGTGGGAAATGCTGCTTTCTGCCTTGGTCAGTGCCTCGTTGTTCCTGGAGCAGCAACATCCTTACTGAATTCCAACGTTGTGATGGCTCTGTTGAAACACGCTGGTGGTGATGCTGCAAGAACTTCAGTGCAGGAGAATGCAGCAATTGCTCTGGGGAAGCTGTGTGTTGCAGAACCAAGGTATTGCAAAAAAAAAACCACAAAACCACACCAAAACCAGTGGAAACAAAACGCTGCTGTTCTCCTGCACCATCCAGATTTTACTTGTTGGTAATTGTTGGAAAACTGACATGTGAACCTATATGGGAACTGGGACATGGTAGGGGGAGGAAAATGAGGAATCCAGTAACACCAAACCAGTGTGGTCAATTCCACACAGAGAGGCAGCAGTACGGGGCAGATGAGCAGCTTGTTTAAGTGTTCTATGACATGCCACTCTTCCTCTAGTTGGAGTTCCCATTTGCTATACTGTCTGCCCCATCCTGCTTTAGGATTTTTTGTTTCTCATTCCTATTGCTTGCAGGAGCTCATTTTGCATTGTTTCACGTTACTTGTGCTGGAAGAATGGACAGAGGAAGAGTGATCAGTTAAGCTTGTAGAGGTCAGAAATGAAAGCACAACAAAAGTATAAATGTCAACACAGAATGTCTGTGCTGCTGCCTGCCAAGAGCGAGATGAGCCCCAGCTGGCTGCATGCTGCCAGGTGGACACAGAGCTGTGTTCTTATTAGGAGAACTGAGTTCCAGTACCAGTGTTTCTGTACCTCCTGAGCCACTGCAGAAAACAACGGGTAATGCAGAGGGTAATGGTGAAGTTCCAGAAGTGCTTTGTGTTCCTTGGAGCTCCCAAATGAGCAAGAAAGGATCTGCTCTGAGTTCTGCAAAACACTGCAGAGATGTGAGAACCTTATTAGGAGTGTCGCCTATATGAACAGTTGTCAAGTATCATTTGGAACTCTGGCTTTCCTTTTCATGGGGAATAGCCATGTAGAAACCTTCTGTCGTGTTACTTTGGAGTTAAGGTGTTCAGTGACCTTGATGGTTTCGTTGGGGGCGTAGCAGAGCAGTGGGAGCTTAAGAATCCTGTAGTCAGTCACTCCCCATCCTCTCAGCAACCTCTCCCTTTGTCTTTTCAGGCATATTTGTCAACTGCGGGAGCTCAATGGCATGGCCATCCTCAACTCCTCTATGAAATATGTGCACAGCTCCTGACGTCCCCCAGAGGGCTTTGATAAATGCTGTTCATATCCCTTACTGTTCCATGTTTTCTTCTTTTCTTAATAAAGCTCATTCAAAGCAGATAACCTTTTCAATCGCTTTCAAGTGTTTGCTCATACATTGAAGCCAGAGAAATGATATCAACATAAAGATCAGGAGAAAGAAGGTAATTTATTATCTAGGCTAACAACTGAAAATAACAACTTCTGCTCTGCTCATATTCACTTCAGTAAATGATGCTGCCCTTTCCTGGGGCCAAGTCTCTTGTTGCTTCATCATCAACCAAAGGGTCACCTGCCTTGTGGTGTGAGTCAGTGCCCAGAGCTTAGAAGAAAACAGAAACAATCCTTCATCTCCTGGGGGCTACTTTATGCTTTGATATTGCATGTGTGATCTCACCTGCTTAAATACATTGATTTTAGCATACTAATTTACTGAGCTGTGGGTCTTAGTGATAACTTATGGTAATGAGGTTAACGAATGAATTAGGGTCTCATTTAGCAGCATTACTTTTGTAAATTTGGTCGAATCCCTTTGGCCTTTATATTTGAGTGGAGTAAGAACAGCTGATGACCTGCTTGATCCTAAGGACTTTCTCGTGGCCTCTTGTGTTCATCTCTAATTGTTAGGAGACCATAACACAAATGGTTCATCCTTTCCTGTCTGTGTTTTCTGGAGAGGTCAATAACGAATTAAGAGCAGTGCCAAGTTAAGTGTGACCTGCAAAGAAAGGCAGTAACACATTGCTCTTCTTAAGTGTCCTTCCAAAAAGACATTTTAAATCATATAAAGAGGAGTTTAGTCTGAAGAACTGTCTTTCTGCACTGAAGTGTAGCAGTTTTATTGCTGAAGTTCATTGCCTGCTATAAAACAGTGCTTTAGCATGAAGGCAAAGCACCAAAAGTGTGCTTTAATCATCCATGAATCAAAGCCCCTCAGCTTTAGTGGATGTCTTCAATGCTTCTGAAAGGTTATCCGTAGCAGATTCTTCATGGTGAGCAGCAGTAGCACTGCTGGTTAAAGGCTATCAAATTTAACAAATGTTCTCTATGAAAATAAACAGGTGAACCTACATCCAAATCTTAAGTAAAATCTTGCAGAACTTCACCCAAACAAGGACGTGACCATGAATGCAGTTCTTTTTGGCCTTAGTTCTGAGCATGGAAACCAAGAGATGTATTATGTTTATGGCGAAGCATGGTCAGTTGTGTTTGACTTTGAAATGGCTTTTCCAGCTGCTTCCATGACACTCGTGATGGTCTGTGTACCTAATCTCATCCCTTTAGAACAGTAGCCTATAATTTGTGTATCATCTCTTTTTTGATATCGTCTTCCTTTCAGAACAGCAGCTGGATCTTCTCACTTTAGAAGGAAGAAACCCTCTTGCCCCTGCTTTTCTTCCCTGGAAGTGAAAAGCATCTGATCAATAATCTCACTGTGTTTTATAAATCCCTACCAGTAAATTGCACCCAGCCAAGGCAAATAGGTAACAAATATTTGACACCTTTCTATAGCAATCATGTCCAAATAAGCAGTACTGCACTTCAAGCTTGGCAAATGCCAACAATGTCTTACCAAAAAAACCCAAAACATTAGTTCATTAGTGTTCCAGGACTGGCTGCCCCAGATGCCAGTCAAGATACGTGCCTTTCCCAAACAGCCGTGGCAGTGGGAAGGAGGTGACCTTGGTGAGCGATGGGGCACAGATCAGGACTATCTGCTGGGCTGTGCTTCATCAGCCTGCAGCAGGACAGATAATGCCTTATTGTTGGTTTCCCTCAAGAGCGATCGCCTCTTCCTTGGTGTCTCTTACAGTGCTCTTCTGAGCTGTTGTTGTTCTGCTTATCTGAATGTTGCTCATTTTTTAGATGCGATTTCCACTACGCTCACGACATTCACGGCTATGTAATAATGTTCTCTCTTATCTCCTCAGCCTGCATTGTTCCAAATTTCCTGTCTCCCAGAGTTGCTTTTGCTTCTGTATGTGTGTGGGTGCCTGGTGCCACCTGTGTGATGCTGCTCTCCAGCTCCAGGTGAATGTTTGCAAGGACAGGAGGGCTTACTGTTAAAGGAAATAAGGATGCACAGGATTGCCAAACAAGGCCATAGCCTTCTCTTCTGTTATTATGTGAGTTTAAATTGTATCATAATCATAGAATGGCTCAGGTCGGAGGGCAGCTCAAAGCCCACCCAGTGCCACCCCCGGCCGTGGGCAGGGCTGCCCCCCACCAGCTCAGGCTGCCCAGGGCCCCATCCCACCTGGCCTGGAGTGCCTGCAGGGATGGGGCACCCACAGCTCTCTGGGCAGCAGCGCCAGCGCCTCACCGCCCTGACCAAAGGATTGCTTCCTCACAGCTCACCCACATCTCCACTCTTTTAACTTAAAGCCATTCCCCCTGGAATATCCCTCTGGATGGCGTCCCTTCCTGCTGTTGTGTCCGCTGCACCACTCAGCTCGGTGCCATCAGCAAACTGCTGAGGCTGCACTCCATCCTATCTCTATCACTATATATCACTCCATCCTATCGTCTGTCGCTGATGGAGATGCTGAAGAGCTCCGGTCCCAAGATGGACCCCTGGGGGACACCACTCATCACCGGCCTCCACCTGGACATGGAGCCATTGACAGCAGCCCTCTGGCTGCGACCATCCAACCAATTCCTTATCCTCCAAATAGCCCAGCCTTCCAATCCATCTCTCTCCACTTTGGAGATAAGGATGTGGTATGGGACCACGTCCAAGGCCTTGCACAACTCCAGGCAGATGACATCAGCTGCTGGCTCAGACTGCTCTGGTCTGGACAGAGTTAGCATAGTGCTGGGATCCACTTCCATTGATCTGAGCCTCAGCTCTGTAACTGGGGCACAAACCCTGGTGTGGCTCTGCAGACCTGGAGCACTGACAGAAGCAGAACTGTGGCCTCCTTCCTGCCACTGAACACATCTAGGGGGTCTCTTGGGGAGAAAGGCTGTTATTTGGGCTCACAGGGCTGGGCAGCTTGCTTTATGAGGATCCTCCAGCTGAAACCCAGGCTCATCCATTTGCGTGTGGCTCACAGATATTGTCAAAAGCTTTGGATCTTTGCTCAGGTAGCACATTGAACTTTTCTTCCGAATAGAAGTGCTGCCCTGCACACTGCCTCTCACACTCACAGTCAGTTTTTCTGTCATGCACGTGAGCACAGTATCTTCTTTTGTTAAAAATCAGTTGATTCCCATTGGTCCAGGCTTCAGAATCTTTCTTTTGTTGTTGTTTTTTTTTTTTCTTTTGGGACCAAGATTATTGGTTGTGGCCTGACCTAAACTCTTATAAAGTAACCCAATACTCTGCCCCTCCAGAACAAACACAGCCAATGCTCTCTGCTGAGAGGCAGCGATGGCTGCTTAGCAAGTTGCCTCCTCTGAACACATGCTATTGGGTTGACTCAGGAGCTGCTTTGCAAAATGCAGGACCTGCTTCCCATTTTTGTTCTGATCGCATCGGAGCTGCTGGATCTCTCTGGTGAGTGATGCATTCTGTCCCCATGGCATTTGCCTTCTTTCTGCCTTCTTTCCAGTTCTGGGTGTGGTTCTCAGGTGTGTGGTGAGGAGATGAGTGAGCACAGCCTTCTTTGGGAACAGCTGTCTGGCCAAATACTATGGACAGTGTGAAAGCAAATCGAGTTTGTAATGCTGCTGTGTCTCAAGCAAGGGCTTCCTAGGGCTGCTGCCACTCACTGCAAAGTCTCATCCCCATAAAGCTGTGCTTATGTGTATGTGTCACTTTCCTTGTCTGAGACTTTGATTCATGAAAGAATTTGAGTTCATGCCTGTCTATAGATACTTGTATTGCTTTGCTGAGTTGAGGTTAAGCTATGCAGGTTCCACCTATTTGTGCAAAATCATAATTCATAATTTTTGTAGACTTAACAACCCGGTCTCCATCATCCATCAGAATCCATTTTTTTGCAATATCTGCTTTTTGGTTTCCCTTTACTCTGCTCATGATTCCCAAAGTAGTTCCCTAACTTTCCGCTTCCCTCTCAGCCTGTTGCAAAATGCTGCTGCAAACTGTTGGAAGTTGATGGACAAGGAAATAGACAAAGCTCCATTTCTGTCTGTTAGGCGCCCCCAGAGCCGAGCACCATGTTGGTGGAGCCCCAGACCTGAGCTCTCCTGGAGAACCCCAACCAATATCTGGGACCAGTCCGCTGTCAGTCACAGAAGACGACTTGGGTGAGGCAACCAATTATGTTCAGACTCCGGCGGCCGATCCTACAAATGAAATGACAGCAGATTTCATTCCCAGCCACACAGAGGTGGCTGCAAGAGCAACAGCCACGCTGCCAGTGGAGCCAGTGAGGGATGTGGAGGGGTCTGAGCGAGGGCACACGGCAGCTGCTGTAAAGCCCCAGGACAGACAGCCATTTCCTAACGAGCTCTTGAGCAGCACAAGCAGCCCCATTTCCACACGGGAGCCACGGGCTGCCACCCACCCACATCCCTCAGGAAAGGCTGCCACCATTACCAGCCCGGCCGGCTCTGGTGCTGGCACCCCTCAGCCCATTCCCAGTGCAGGGATGCAGCACAGTGTTCCTGCCTTGTCCACCCCAGGCATCCAGCAGAGGGAGGCACCAAGTCTTCAAACATCTCCTCTGACTTCAACAGCACATTTCCATCCTCCCAGAAAAGAAACAGCATCTCCATTTTCCACCAGAGAGAAGATGGTGACCAATCCACCGTCAGCACCTCCCACCAGCAAAAGGCCGAGAGATGCAAGCCCCCAGGCACAGCCCCACAGCAGAGCTGCACAGCCTCGGGGTGTAGCTGCTAAGGTCACCACTTCTGCATTCCTACCAAAACCAGCTTCAGGGGGCCCTGCTGCAGTTCCTTCTAGAACAACACAGACAACTGCTGGTCACTTCTCCCCTATGAAGCGAGGGATGGCAGGCAGTGAGGGCAGGAACCCAACAGCAGCCATTGTAAGCGGGTCTGGACACACAGCCCAGCTGCCTGCTCTGCAGGATGTTCTGCAAGGCCGTGCACACTCCTCTTCCCCACTGATGCCTCTGGAAGCCCTGGATCGTGGTGATTTACCCCACTCTCCATCTCAAGAGCCCACTAATGCTGCTGACGGACCGCAGCCTCTCCCTTTGCCCCGGACTCTCAGCTGTACCAAACAGCACTCCTCCCAGGAAGCCCACAGGAGCTCTCAAGGAAGCACAGCCCCGGTTTTGCAAAAAGATGCTGATCATCAGATGACAAGTAAACCTGAAAAATCCGGATTCCCTGAGAAGCCACAGGTTTCTGCTGGTGCATCCTCAGTAAGCCAGTCACAGATGTCCACCTTAAACATTTTCCAGACTACTACAGGGACAAAAGGAGCTACATCTGCACTCTCCCTGGGCATACCCACTCCTGATGTTGTTCCTGCAGCACTTCAGCCAACAGGTGTATCTGCTCCTCCTGCTGGACCCCAGTTAGCAGGCATCCCCAGTTCTGCTGGGCAAGGACTTCACATACCAACTTCACCCACTTCAGCTCATTCCAGGTCTCTGCACCCACCTTTTGCTCAGGAAAGCCTGCCCAGAACAAATGCACATCCCAAAGTGGTGCAAACTGCTGTTTCTGATGGGATCCCAGCACACCTGGCACAGCTGCTGGTGCAGCAGTCGGGTACATCACACCACACACCTACCAAAAACCTCAGTGCTATCAGAACAGATCACCTTAGCGTGTTACCATCATTCCCATATTTGTCCTTCCTGCTTAGAAATACCGATGGCATGCTATGCTTGCTTCCCACACAGGATTCCCCTTTGCCTATGCAATTCCCAAATATCAGCATTGGGACTCTGGTTTCTGCTCAGCAAATCCTCACAGTGTCAAATGCTTCATTATTAGATCGAGGGGACTTACCAAACATGAGTTTTTCCAGCTTAATCCTGGTTAAGCCCATATTTATCCTCTTTCCCACCGACAGACCAGGCTTACAGGGGGGGGCCTCTCCTGAGGGTGAAGGCAAACACAAAACCCTCTTGTTCAGCAACCAGCGAGGTGTGAATGCAATTACTGCTGAGCACAGCCATGACATCCCAGTGGTGTCCGCACGCATCCCCCATACTGCCCCCAAAACACCTCTCACAGCTGGGAAATTGCTTTCTTTATCACTACCAGCCGTAGGACTGCCCGATCCCCCACTCCCAGCCCAGCCTCCGTTTGCAATCGCAGAGGCAGTGGATCCGGCTCAGCCCAGCAAGGAAGCAGCACTGCAAGGCACTGGCCTGGTCTCAGCCCCCGCACCGTCCTCTGCCCGTGCGCAGTGCGCTGAGTGTCTGCGCTCAGCCAGGACCACGAATTACCCATTGAGGCTGCCCACAAGCACTGTGCCTTTGCAGTCCACACCGCAAAGCATCCTCAGCTCCGAGCCGCTCCGGAGGCTGCCGTCACCAGCTGGGATTGCGCCCAGCACCGTACCAGCATCCCCAGCGCCTCCCATTGGCAGCGAAAGGAGAGGTTCAGCTGCGGGCAGCACCGCCTGTCCGGGACTGGCTCTGCATCCCAGGGCAACACCAACCTCACCCTCATCTCTAAGGCCCGACCTTGCCAAGCACCTGGAGTTCACACCCACCGTGCCCAAGCCCTCTGCAGCGATGGAGACCCCAACACCAGTGCTGTCACCATTTTCAGCAAAGGTTCACGTGAAAACAGCAACATCTGGGAAGCTGCTGGCTGCAGTTACCCGTCCGAGAATGTACACTGGGTCCCGTGCAGGCCCGCCTTCCTCTGTGGCCATGCACGTTCTCCTGCCATCAGCCACAAAACACGACCGGAGCACCCGAGCACAGGGAAACGTGGGAGAAGATGCAAAGCCAGCTGAAGTCAGCACGAGTGCAAGGAAAACAGGACTCGCAGGAAGCAGCACTCCTCTGCCAGCTGTGTTTAACTCGAGGCCGGAGCAGCGCCCCGCAGCAGTGCAGGACAGCGAGGCTGCTTTATCCCCAGCGCAACCTGCGTCTGCAGAAGCTGCAACTGAGACACACGGCTCCGCTGGGCAGCACCCTGGAACGCCTACAACAGGATCGGCTGTGGGGCTGCTCCTGAGCACTGAGGAAGAAGAGGAGGTCGGACCCCGCGAGGTGACAGAAGAAGCAGCCGAAGGCTCTGTGACCGAGCTCACACCGCTGGGCTCACAGCCGGGAGAGCCCCGCCGCCGCAGCGCCGTGCAGCCGGAGGGCACCGTGCTGAGCGGGTAATTGCTGCAGGAGATGCCGCTCAGAGAGCGGAGGGATCAACATCTACAGTGCTCCATGGGCTAGTTTGAAAGCACTCAGTCCATTCTGCAGTGACTTCATAAATGTATTATATATATATATATATATATATATATAAAAAGCAATCTTTCTACATCTCTGATGTTAGCGCTGTCCTTCCAGACCCAGCTTTCTTTTGCACAGCAGCCTTTGACTCTCTGCCTCTCCTCCTAAACAGCTCTACGTGCATCTCTGTGATGTGGGAGCATCTGCTGGCACAATGAGACATGCCAGCTAAATGTGAACCTTCCCCACACGGCTGTGCAGAGGCAGGAGGTGGTTCTGGTCACACCAGGGTCTACTTGCTCTTCATTTCATTCAACTTGCTTGCAAACACCTTGCAGATCTGTTTGGTTTCACCAAGGAAACCGACTCTAGCACTAAGCAGCTGCACAGCAGAGTTGGGCTCAGCTGGTTTCTTCTTTCCCCTGCAGCATTGCAGTTGTCAGCGATGAGCTCTGTGGCTCCGGGAACTACACGGTGCGGATGACCCTGCGCCCTGTGGCAGACACCAGCATGGGGCTGCAGGGCTCACCCCCCACCCAGGACACCTTCCTGGCTCTTGTAGCTGTGCAGAGCAGCCTCCACCCCGTGTTGCGGCTCCGTTCCTGCTGTGTGACACCATCCAGCAGCCTGCAGGGCCCCAGCGCCGTGTGCTGCTCGCTGCCCAGGTATGGCACCAGGAGCTCCAGGTGGGGCTGGGCTGGGAAACATGTTCTGTGATCAGCACCATGAGAAACATGGCTGTCCTTCCTTCACGCTTTGACCCATACAAATAACCTGTCCCACTTTCTTGTGCAGTGTTATCATTGTACAGTATCCTCCTGCCCTTCCTCCTGGAGGAGCACGCAGCCTGGGAGCAGAGCAGCCCAAAGGTGGGAGACCCTGGCTACAGTGAGAGCTCACCCCTGTGCTGCTGCTGCATCTGAGTCAGGCAATGAGAACCACACTACTGCAGCTGTTTTAGAGGTTTTAGCACAATAAACATCCAAGAAACAATAGCAGGCAAACATCCGGGCTGGGACACTGAGATTTTGGGGATTTTTTTTGCCTGGGGCATGGTGGCAGACAGCCTATGCAGAGCAGTGTCTGCCCTTCCCTGCCCTTACCTGGGAAGTGCTGGAAGCTGAAGCTTTTTTCTGTTTGCCCTTGCCAGGCTGCCAGCTGAATGCAGACACATCCAGCTACTGCCAAGCAGTGAATCCGGAGCTGCCAGCTTCACCATCCAGCTGTTCCAGATGCTAAATCACTCCGTGGCCTACCTGCACTGTGAGCTCCATGTCTGCTTGCAGGGCCACACAGGCTGTGAGCAGGTACATGGGCAGGGTCTTCCTTCGCTGATCTGAGCACCTTCCAAAGATCCAAGGCTTCCTTCCCCAAGCTTGGCAAGACTCAGGGATGGGGTGCCTGCCAAACCCGTGCCAGTGCCTCGTTCTCACTGTGGTTCTGCCATGTGTTGAAGAGGCACAGCACTACGAGGCAGGCAGTGCTGGGCTCTGCTCATTACTCCCATCTCTTCAGGATTGCTTTGTTGGTGCAGAGCCACTCCTCCTGCCAGGGGACAGGAACAGGCATGGGAATCCACACAACCTGGTCTCGTTCGGCCCAGTTCTGAGAGCAGTGGACAGCTTAGAGTACAAACCTGCAGAAGGTGGGTCTCCTGCTTGCAGCTCTATCCTGCAGAAATCTCAGCTCAATTTATGGAGCATTTTTTTCTTCTTCTCATCCATAGTTGAAAGGCAGCAGCTGGTTTCTGTTAATTAGATGTTGCCCAGCTGTTAGTATGGAGAGGGATTCAGTTTGGCACATCAAGTGCATGACAGACCTCCAGAGCTCACTGCCACCATCTCTGAGAGTCAATTAATTTCTTGTATGTCTGACTGCTTTCTTTTTTTTTTTTTGCTAAGAATATTTATTGATGAGACCTTATGGCAAAGCAGGCAGTGTGTCTGAGGGGGGACTACCATTCATAGCACCACAGAACCATGGGATGGCTCAGGTTGGAGGAGACCTCAAAGATCACCTACTTCCAACCTCCTGCCATAGGCATGGCTGTCACTGAGGCTGCTCTGTGGAAAGAAGCAGCCACCCCTGCTTGGCATGCTGGAAAGAAGAAGGGATTTTAACCCCCTTTCTCCTCTCCCTTAATGCTATTCACAGCTAGATGATTTTTCTCTTTCCAGGTCCTAATTCTGCCATGCTGGTGCCCATTCTGCTGGGATCCCTGACTGGCTTTGCTGTCTTGGGCAGTGTCTTCATCTGCCTTTTGTTGCATCACAGACAGAAAACCAAAAACCTAAGTTATCCACAACTTGGAGAAATCCGTGGCCTATGAACTACACATAACTGCCTGGTCCTGCCTATCCCACTCCACTGCTACAGTAATCAGAAAAGCAAACGCTTTTGAGTTGCACACTGTATTGCTTTTGTAGACCTGTTGGCCCAGGGAGGAAGATCTCTCTCCTTCCTTTCTTTCCTTCTGCATGCATGAGCCCACAGACTGCAGAGTAGAGGACTGTAGAAGCAGCCCACCCAAAGGGGAGAATAGATCTGCCAGGTAGCTAAAACCTCTAGGTCAGGGTTCAGGGTCTGTTTTGCAGAAGCACTCATCATTCCTTGCACTGCAGTAGTGCTGTGGAAATTAGCACCACACGCCTTTTGACATCGCCTTACCCACAGAGGTAGTCCCTGTGCTAAGCTGTTAATGCTGTTTATGCCCCAGACAAGTGCCATTAAACTGCTGGAGAGTTAAGGCACAGAGCAAGTCCAAGAGTGTGTGCATCGAAGGTAACACAGCTACAAAGGAGCAGTGCCCCAGCACCAAAGTTTTGCCCTCTTCCCTGCAACACATCTGCAATCACAGCAGGTTCTGTGCAAAGTTGCAGCTTGAGGGCTGCTCAGTGGTTGTTGGTAACACATCCCAACCTTCCGGAGCTGTGACAGGGTGCTGGGCTGCCGAGATTCGTCAGCAGTGCAGCTGTGCTTTTGGGAAGAAATCACTCTGCAGCTGTGTGTGGCCCTGCAGTAGTGCTGTGTGGTGCTGGGGCAGTGCCTGCACTCACTGCTATCTGCAGAACTCAGTTGCATCCTGTAGGGCCGGCGCTGTGCAGTGTTGTGGTGCCTCTTGCAAAGGTGAGCTTCAGTACCTGCATGCATTGTAAAGGTGAAAACTGTTAATAAAGAGCTGGCACCTTTATGCTTTATGTGATGAAAGCTTGTTTCTTAAAGTGGTCCCTTTCACAACTAGGGTAAGCTGGTCATAAGAGATAAATAAGGATGAAGTTGACTGGAAAAAGGCAATATAAATCCCATTTATTAAAAAAAAAAAAAAGGTACAAAGGATGACCTGAGGAATTACTGACCTGTCTGCCTCACCACTGCGTGGGGGAAGATCACAGAGCAGATCCTCCTGGAAGCTGTGCTATGGCACGTGGAAAAGGGAGGTGATATGGGACAACCAGCATGGCTCCACCAAGGGCAGCTCCTGCCTGACCAACCACGTGGCTTTGATGGTGTAACTGCATCAGTGATCAAGGAAGGAGCCACCGATGTCACCTATCTGGACCTCAGTAAGGCCTTTAACACGCTCCTCCACAACATCCTTCTCTCCAAATTGTTAATCTATGAATTTGATGGGTGGGCTGTTTGATGAGGAGGAACTGGTTGGGAGATCGTACCCAGGGAGTGGTGGTGAATGGCTCAGCGTCTGGATGGAGATGGGAGGCAAGTGGTGTCCTTCAGGGTCAGTACTGGGGCCGGTGCTCATTAACATCTTCATCAGTGATATCAACAGTGGGATTGGGCGCATCCTCTGCAGTTTGCAGATAACCCCAAGCTGTGTGTTGCTGTTGACACTCCTGACAGATGGGAAGGCATCCAGAGAGACCCAGACAGGCTGAGCTCTGGGCCCAGGGGAACCTCAGGAGGTTCAGCAAAGCCAAGTGCAAGGTCTGCACCTGGGTCATGGCAGCACCCACTGTCAGTGCAACTGGGGGACGTAAGGATAGAGCACAGCCCTGCCAAAAAGGACCGGGGGTACTGGTGGGGGGCAGCTGGACATGAGGCAGCAGTGTGCCCTGGCGGCACAGAAAGCCCAGCGGACCCTGGGCTGCAGGCAGAGCAGCACGGGCAGCAGGGCAGGGAGGTGCTCCTGCCCCTCTGCTGTGCTGTGACAGCTCACCTGGAGCACTGCGTCCACAGGTGGAGTCCTCAGGGCAGGAGAGACGGGGAGCTGCTGGAGCGCGGCCAGAGGAGGGACACAGAAATGGCGGCAGGGATGGAAGCCCTCCCTGCGAGGACAGGCCGAGAGCTGGGGCTGAGCAGCACGGAGAAGAGAAGGCAAGAGAAGGAGAGCTGAGAGCGGCCCGTCAGCATCTGAAGGGGCTGTGAGAAGGGAGGGGACGGACTCTGCAGTGGGTCTGTGTGATGGGAGAATGGGAGATGGCTTCAGACTACAGGAGGGGAGATTGAGGTGGAGCTGAGGAAGGTTTGGCAGTGAGGGCGGTGAGGCGCTGGCGCTGCTGCCCAGAGAGCTGTGGGTGCCCCATCCCTGCAGGCACTCCAGGCCAGGTGGGATGGGGCCCTGGGCAGCCTGAGCTGGTGGGGGGCAGCCCTGCCCACGGCCAGGGGTGGCACTGGGTGGGCTTTGAGCTCCCCTTCAACCTGAGCCATTCTATAATCTACGATTCTGAATAAAGATCTGTTGGTAATAAGTGCAGGAGCCCTCTGGAGCTGCAGGAAGGCCTGTTGCTCACTGAGCCATCCTATCAATGTCCCACAACAGTTGCTGCATGCACTATGGAGCATGGAGCATTGTGAGTGGGTTCACCAACCACCACCAAAGCAGCCAGCAGCCAGAGCTGGCTGAACTGCCTCAACCAGCTCCTTGCTGTGCTTTCCTGACCTGAAATGCCCCTCCAGGCAGTCAGCAGCTCCTTCATCCCTGCTCCCTGCCTCTCCATGCTGCTTACATTTCTTTTCAAGCAGTTTCTCAGTTTTACGTGCTCATGTTCCTTACATACAAGGTCTGGAGACCCACCCCTTGGCTCACCACGCACCTCCCCATCCCCACTGGGTGTGGAGGAGCTCCACAGTTATTCCTACACACACTGAAGCAACTGGCAGTGCCGGGCTGCCTCTGATGCCATGGCTTCGGGGACAGAGCAGCAATGTGGCAGCCTCACTGTCTTCAGCAAGGAGGACTTCGAGGAGGACTGGGTGAAAGTGGCCAGCGGGGGCTTTGGGTGCGTGTACCAGGTCAAGCACAAGAAGTGGAGGACGGTCTATGCGGTGAAATGCTCCCCGTACCTGCTGCACGACCCCGGCGCAGAGAGGTAATGCCTGCTCTCCTCCAGCACTGCAATCTGGCATGTATGTGTGTCTTAAACCTTATTAGCAGAGGAGTTTCCAGTAGCTGTTGCTGGGCTAGATGAGTTGATGAAGGTATTTATTCTAAATTTTTATTGCATTCAAGCTGAATGAATCCCGTCTGGTTTGTAGCCACATGCTGATATTTCTTTTCCTGTGATGTTACTGACTCCCGTGGAGATGGCTTAATTTGGCAGTGACCATGCCTTTGGTTTGCAGTGTTTGTGCTCTGCATATTGCATTTAGTCTTTCTATTCTGGGGAATAAGAGAATCAAGCTGATCAGTTTTACTTCTGTATGTATCAGTTCAAGAAAGTTTAATCTTATGGATACCCCCAAAGCAAGAGGGCAGGGGCTAAGCAGTGCTGTGCCAGCACCCACCATCCTGTGCTGGAAGGGAGCAGGTGGGGGCCATGCCTTGCAGCTCTACCCCAGAAGGGAGCCAGAAACCACACGGGTCCCTCCTTGTGCAGCACTCCATGCTGCAGGCTGTGCCTTCCTGCAGTGAGCCTTCCTACTGGAAATAACACGCCTGGGGTAACCCAGTGTGGGGTCCGTTCCACTGGAGAAAGTCTGGCAGAGGGTTTTGATCGGCTGAACTGTGTTTAGATATGAGGGTGGCCCAGCAGGATGTCATTGTGAGCTCAGATTCATTCCCAGGGTATGCTTTCTAACTTCTAGAAGTCTTTACACTTGTACTGCTTGATGTCTGTCAGCACACTCTGGGCACCCCGACTTGTTCAGCAGGTTGGGAACTGCAAAGATTTAGTAAAGCATGTCTGGCAGAGCTGGCAGCAATGTGCAGACTTGTCTAGACTGCCTCGGGACCAATTCAAGGGAAATTTGAATCTTTTAGGGGTGTACAGGGCTGCTTGGATAGCCCTAAACTGCTGTACAGGAACTCCACCTATGGATCAGCACTGACACCATCTCTTGGTTCTTTTTTTTTTTGACCCAGAACTAGTGTGAACTGTCTAATGGAAGAAGCAACCAAGATGGAGAAAATAAAATTCCAGCACATTGTAACTATCTACGGGGTCTGCAACAGCCCTCTGGGCATAGTGATGGAATACATGGCCAGAGGGTCCTTGGAGAAAATCCTGCCCACTCACAAAATGTCATGGCAGCTCAAATTCCGGGTTATCCATGAGATGGGCTTGGCTATGAATTTCCTGCACAGCATGACACCTCCTTTGCTTCACTTAGACCTAAAGCCAGGGAACATCCTCCTTGATGGGAATATGCATGTCAAGGTATGGCCTTATTGTTTGCAGGGACAGGTCATTTCTCTTGGTAGTACATAGGCTGTTTTGAGTCCAGAAGCCTAACAAGGATCTTCAGGAACACTCATCATTAAGATCGACATCTGCAGCTTGCAAGAAGCCGCTGGTAAACAAATTGCATGACATATTCCAGATTATGTAGGAGATTCATAGAATCACAGAACGCTCAGGTTGGAGGGGAGCTCAAAGCCCACCCAGTGCCACCCCCGGCCGTGGGCAGGGCTGCCCCCCACCAGCTCAGGCTGCCCAGGGCCCCATCCCACCTGGCCTGGAGTGCCTGCAGGGATGGGGCACCCACAGCTCTCTGGGCAGCAGTGCCAGCACCTCACTGCCCCAATTGTGCCAGAACTGGGAATACAGAGGAAAATGCTGATCCAGATGCTGCTGGACTCGGTGAAAAGCACTGATTTTGGTTTTAGCTGGGTTTTCTCAGTTCTATCAGACGCCTCCTCATATTCCTGATCATGAAGGACAGAGATATCTCCCAGCTAAAATGAGGAGAAGTGAGATGGTGAATGTTAGAGAGAATGTCATGTTCTCTGCTTGCAGATCTCAGACTTTGGGCTCTCCAAATGGATGGAGCAGTCAAGCCGAATGCAATATATTGAAAGCTCTGCTTTGAGGGGCACTTTGAGCTACATCCCCCCAGAAATGTTTCTGCAGAACACCAAACCTCCAGGAATCAAATACGACGTGTACAGGTAAGGGCTGCCTTTCCGCACATGGGTGAGACAGCATTCAAATATCCTTCTGGCCAAATTGCTTTGCAGCCCACTTATAAAAGCTGTGTTCTGGATGTCTGTCAGCTCCTTCACTACTGCACTGCACAGTGATCCGAGAGAAATAGCAAAGGGGGATTCATGTGGTCACATGCTCTTGCACCAGTCAGGCACTCGATAACGCAATAGGAATAAAATGGGCTGTATAGGGATGTAGGCTGTCATGAGAAATGCTATAAGTCACTCATCCTCTGCTCAAGCGTTGTGGCAGACATCAGAGATGTATGTGATGATTCATAGAATATTGTCCTCTGGGGGTGTGGTGGGTGCAATCCCAGTTCTTCCATCGTGAAGGACACCTTTTCTTGGGAAGACAGAAGTAATTAGTGGATTTTATGTTTGTGTCCGATGAGAACTCTATGGAAATGATTGCTCACAATCTCTCATTGCAGCTTTGGAATTGTCATTTGGGAGGTGCTTATGCAGAAGAAGCCTTATGCAGGTAAGTGTGAGAGTGAATCCACTTCTTACATGCTCTGCACTCATTAAAAGTTTATTACAGCCACCTCCACAGAGAAAAAACCCAATGTATGCTGCTGTGACTCTTTCAGGAGCCAACATGATGGCCATCATCGTCAAGGTAGCAGCAGGCAAGAGGCCCTGCCTGGAACCCATCAGTGACGACTGGCCAGGGGAATGCCAGCAGATGGTGGACTTGATGAAGAGGTGCTGGGATCAAGACCCTAAGCAAAGACCGAGCTTTACAGGTGCAGTATTTGAACAGCGAATGGATTAGGCAAAGGTCAGCTGCAGGAATTAACAACTGGGGGATAAGCTTGCATGTAACTGGCTGCCACATAAAGTACCTGTCGCTTTGGCAATGCTTGGTACCCATCTGCTGTCAACACATCCTTTTTGTCCCTCTTGCCTTCCTCCCCATGCAGAGGATAACAGAGGACTCCCACAGCCCCGGGTGCTGACTTGGTAATCTGCACAGCTAACAGTCTCCCTGCTCCTGCAGATATCCCTGTAGAAACAGACATGCTGCTGTCACTGATACAAAGCCTTGTTGTGGATCCGGAGAACGAGCGCCTTGTCAGAAAGATGTCCCACAAACCTGCCATTGCTGGGAACCAGCAGGTGAGCAAGGCTGCTTAGTGCCTGGGGAAGTGCTCTGAGTCCCTCCCTCTTCTTACTAGCTCCTGAGGGAGTATTTCCTCTCCCATCACTGTTTATCATCAGAGCACCTCAACACCCTGTGTGTGCTTGCATAGGGTGCACATCTGTCATTCATTTATGGGGATGGGAAAAGTCCAAATCAATCTAGGAAGCTGCCCACTGTGCTAAACGATAGATGGTCCAACAGAAAGGTCCTTTCTTACAGCTCTATTGCGGTGGCTTTGTCATATCTAAAAAGTTGGAGCTAAGGAGCAAAGTCTCATGATGTCCTGAGATATCTTCAGGCTCCTGCATGCCCGTTAGTGTCATGACTTGCCCTGCTCTCAGGATTGAATAAAAAACACACGAATGACAACACAAAACTCTGGAGCAAAGAATAAATCTGTGCAAAAGATATATAATGCAAATAAGCAACTTTCTCTTACATTTTTTTCTTTCCCCCTTCCCGAAAATGAGAGTGACAAAGAAGAGCTTATCTTCTCTCAAGACGCCAGAGCCAGTGGTAAGTAGGGAACTCTTCTTCATCATTTAAAGATAAGGAAGAGGGAAACCAGAAGAATAGGATATTTCATTGCTCTCCAGAGATAAGTATATGTCTCAAGGAGGTTTTCTCTGTGTGTGACTTTTCGTTTGAAATTAAACAAAATGAACTATATGGGAAATAAGTTCCCATGATGCAGAGACCGAACATCTCATGGCTTCGAAAGAAACATTTCACATTCCCTATCTCTAGGACGCTTTTATTTCATCACACAACATGAGGAGCCGCATGCTGTCCCTCCTGTTTTGTGCATACCGAGCTGTTCCACTCTGCCTTTCTCCCCCCTGGTGTTCTGTTTCCCCTGCCTTTAGGAACCGGCCACCAGGAGGTTCACGGCCCACCTTCTCACAGTGAGATGGAAAGCCCAGAGGACATCCTGTATCAGGAGATCTGGAGAGTTCATGAGAACGGCCTCACACTGCTTCACTTCGTGGTGATCCAAGGAAACGTGGAAAAGGTGAAGTTTCTCCTGAGCTGCAAAGCCAATGTGAACAGCCAGGCGGTCTGTGGCTACACCCCGCTCATCGTGGCTGTTCAGAAGAGATCACCAGAGATCTGCTCGGTGCTGATAGAGCACGGTGCGGACACCAACATGCCCGATGAGGATGGCTGGACACCTCTTCACTTTGCTGCTCAGAATGGGGATGACCGAATTGTTCGCCTCTTGCTGGACCACCAGGCTCATGTCAACGCTCAGGAGCACGACGGGTGGACCCCTCTGCACTTGGCATCCCAGAACAACTTTGAGAATGTGGCCCGAGTGCTGCTCTCTCGCCAAGCTGACTCCAACACCCAAGAGGTGGATGGGAAAACCGCCCTCCATGTGGCAGCCTGCTTTGGGCACGTCGGCCTGGTGAAGCTCCTCGCCAGTCAGGGAGCAGACCTGGAGAAGAAGCAGAAGAACCACAGGACTCCACTCCACGTGGCTGTGGAGAGAGGGAAGTTCAGGGTAGTCCACTATTTGCTGAAGAACGGGGCCTGTGTCAACAGCCTGGACCAAAACCATTACAGCGCCCTGCACCTGGCCGTGGTGAGGGGGAAATATCTCATCTGCGAGAAACTCATCAAGTACGGAGCCAACGTCGAGCTGCGGACGGACAAAGGCTGGACCCCCCTGCACCTGGCTTCATTCAAAGGACACATCGAGATCATCCACCTGCTGAAAGACAGCTGTGCCAAGCTGAACGTCAGGGGAAGCATGGGCTGGACACCGCTGCATTTGGCCACGCGCTACAGTGAAGAGCCAGTGGTCAGCGAGCTGCTGAGGTGTGGGGCAGACCCCAACATCGCTGAGAAGTCTGAGTGGGCCCCCCTGCATTTTGCAGTGCAGAGGGGCTCTTTTCTGACTGTCATCAATCTCCTGGAGTGCAGGGCAGACGTCAACGTGAAGAACAAAGTGGGCTGGACGCCGCTGCACCTCGCCGTCCTCAAGGGCAACATGGCCATTATAAAGACCTTGATTAAGGCTGGTGCTCTGCTCGATGTGGAAGATATTACTGGCTGCACGGCCCTCCAGTTGGCAATTAGGCACCAGAAAGAAAACATCATTACGTTGCTCCAAGGCAAGGACTCGCAGATGAATACATTGCAGAATAGGACCCTGGTGAATGATGTTCAGATTTCAAGACCCAGAACTGTTCCAAGAAGGACAGATTTGTAGATTCGTAGCATCTGGCATTTATCACTCAAATTTTCCAGTATCAGAGCCTTAAGTCACTATATCCAGTCACCTGGTGATTACAGGGGATTTTTTTTCAACGGCAATTCTTGAGTATAAATACTAAAAGAATAAAAGAGAGCTACAGAGGGAAGATGGCACGTTATTTTTGAGAGTGATCAAATTTATAGCCCCTTTTGGCTTGGTGATGCTGGCATTAGGCTGTGCTTCTCTGTTCTGATACTCACTGCGTGGGGATGGAAAAGGATATGTGTACTCCATTTTACAGCGGACACTGCTGGAATCATGCATAGCAGTGCACATACAGGTGTCTTCCATATGTTTTCTTGCTTTTATTCTTTGTTTTCTGACAGAGCAGATTGGTGTAAAACAGCTTGGCGCAGGTGGGAATTGAGTCTTCTCACCTGCTGCTGGAAATAGACACCAAGCAAATGGTGCAGTGATGTGTCAGATTTTCTGACATCTCATTTTTGTAACAAGAGCCTTTATTAAAAATAAACCGAGTAAGAAAAATCTCTGGTGAGAAGTATTTAAATGGATGCAATGCACTGCAAAGTAATTCCACTCCATCCCTTAACCACTCAGGCTGTCATTCCGAAGACGGCTTGAAGGATAAACCAAGAAATGGGTGCAGTTGGTGTATGCAGTCAGGTGGGGTTCCTTCCTGCCTTAGCTGAGGGCTATTAGTTTGCAAGGCTGCTCTCAGGCTCCTCTTCTCTTTGACCAGACAGGCTTGTCTGGAAAGTGTTGCTCATGGTATTGAATGAAATTGTTTAGATTCAAATTTTTTTTGCTGATAGTATGTTTTTGTGGATGTTTCTGTGGATGCGTAGAAAAGGCGTGATGACAAATGCATCCTATTTATGCATCTGGTCCTACTTTAAGGGTTGTTTTTACAGGCAAGAAATCAGTGGGATTGTCCTGAAGCAAGTTAGGCAGCAGTGCAGGTGATGCAGTGTGGCAGCTGGGGAGACTTTGGGGCCAAATGAAGTTATCACAGAGTCATAGAGTGGGTTAGGTTGGAAGAGACCTTGCATTTCATCTAATTCCAACCCCTGCTGTGGGTGCCAGATCAGGCTGGTACAGAACAGAACCTGCTATTTTCAGCTGAAGGTTCAAGTGATGTCACCAGTGGGAAGTTGTCTTTTATGTCTATTGGGAAGATTTTCTAGAGCTTGATGACCTTTGTGGAAAACATGTAGCCTTTAAGGATTTTGTTGCAGTGAGCAGCATTTTTGTGCCACTTCTGATGCTCCCATTGTGATCTGCTAAGCCATTTCAGACTCATACGCAATGATGTCTCTCTCTTTCATTTTAGCTAGAAAGATGTGGCAATACCAGTAAACAACCCACAGCTCTGTTTACTCTATTCAGGGCGAATGCCACAGGGCAGGGAACTCCTTTTCCACCCCAGCCAACAACAGGAGCTGCCCTGTATAGGGAGGATCTGCTAGTAGCTCACTCCAGGCTTAAGAAGAGCTCATTGTCCCAGGAAAGCTGGCAGCTGCTTGATCAGAGCAGAGAAGAAAGACAGAACAGAAGCATCTTTAAGTGCTCCATGAGACTGAAGATATATTGCCATATGTGAGTCATAACTGTATTTCACTGCTTAATGCAGCGTACATTTCCCCTTGCCTGAGCTCCAACCCACTGAAGCTGTCTGGACTGTGCTAAATAAAAGAGCAGGTGGGGTGGCTGCAGTGTCTGTGACTGCTATAAAACGTCCCTTTGTCCCTTCTTGCACATTTATTTTCCTTTTGAAATTTGACAAGCTGAACTCATAGCGGAGCGTTGCCAAACCCAGGGCAGGAGGTGGGCTGCTTCCAGGCAGGGAGAAACTGGGAAACCTCCTCCAGCCACAGGAGCAGAGCTCTGTGTGCTGCTGGTGTGTGGGCACTGTTTGCAACTGAGCCGCATTCTGTGGGGAAATGAACAATGTTACTTTGGAAGAAATGGAATTGGCTTGGACAGGTGCACTCATTCCTGGGGAAAGAACTGGCTGGAGGGCCGGGCCCAGAGATGGTGGTGAATGGAGTTACATCCAGCTGTGGGGCTCCCCAGGGGTTGGTGTTGGGGCCCTTCTTACTTAATAACTTTATTGATGATCTGGATGAGGGCACTGAGTGCATCCCAGCAAGTTGGCAGACAACACCATGCTGGGGAAGCGTGGATCTGCCTGAGGGCAGGCAGCCCTTCGGAGGGACCTGGGCAGGAGAGCGGCTGAGGGAGCTGGGATTGTTCAGTGTGGAGAAGAGGAGCTCAGTGGAAACCTCACTGCTCTCTGCAGCTCGCTGACTGGGGATTGCGGAGGGCTGGGGGTCGGCCTCTTCTCCTGGGTAACAGCGATAGAAGGAGAGGAATGGCCTCAAGTCACTCCAGCGGAGCTTCAGGCTGGATATTAGGAGAAGCTTCTCCAAAAAAGTGGCCATTGGTAGAGGCTGCCTGGGGAGGTGGTGGGTCACCATTCCTGAAGGTATGCAAGAAACGTTCAGATGTTGTACTGAGGGACACGGCTTAGTGGCGGTAGGAGGACAGTTGAACTGGATGATCTTGAACATCTTTTCCAAACTGCGTCAGGCTGTGATTCAATGACAGGTGCAGCTCCTCTCTGCTCACACCTGTCCCCTCCTGCAGCACACGTGGGTGACTTCAGCAAGGCCTTCAACAAGTGTGGCATGCATCTTGTTCATCGCTGGTGTGGTGCGCTGAGGCGGTCAGCCTCTTATCCTGAGTAACAGTGACAGAATGAGAGGGAATGGCTTCAGGTTGTGCCGTGGGAGGTTCAAAGTGAATGTTAGGAAAACCTCCACGAGAGTGTTTGGGCACTGGCACAGCTGCCCAGGGGAATGGTGAGGTCACCATCTCTGGAGGTGATCAGGAAATGTGGAGATGTGGCACTGAGGGACACGGACAGTGGGCAGTATAAGTGGGTGGTTGGACTGGATGATCCTAGAGCTCTTTTCCAACCTCAGCAATTCTGTGATTCTCTGATTCATTGGCTGCTTCCTTGTAGCGTCAGACTATCCAGTTTTGATAAGATGTAAAGCAAAGGCAAACAAAAATCCTTAACATCTGCTAATTTCACTTTGATTCTTATAATAACTATTTGGTGCCAGTTTTCAAAGGGAGGAGGAAGAAGACTTACAGGGTGGGATTAGAGGCTGCTGCAAGTGAGATGAAAGAACTTTGTAGCCTGGATTTGTGTTACAGGAGAATGAAATAGACAACACCTGTATTACATTCTTATTCCTCCACTGGCATGCTGAAGGAAAACTCATTACATTGTCATCAACAACAGTAGAGTTAAGAATGGGTGCTTGGCCAACACCAAGCATTGCCTCCCTGTGGAGTGTCCTTCAGCACTGCAAACCTGGATGTCCTCAGGATGTGCCCAGTGTCACCACATAGGTATCTGGGGACAGACATTGTGGTGCTGCCCACAGCAGTGCCAGGACTGGATCCATGCAGCTGCAGAGCTGCTCACAGCCTTGAGCAGAGCAGTGCTGCTAGCGAGTTGGAAGCTTTGCCTCTAATTAAAATGTCTTGTTTCTCGTTCTCATACAGCTTGGAGATCTCTTGCTGAGACCTAAGCTGTTTAGCTGTTGTTAAGCTGTCAGAGGCATTGCATTAAATATGAGGCACAGACAGACAGCTCTCCCTTGGTGTGACATTTTTACTCCAATACCACTTTGAAGATGTTTTCTTAGCAGCGATGCTTGAAATTCTGCAAGATGATGGATGTGACTGGCAGCAGGAATGTCTGTCTGCCTGAACTTACAAATGAAGAAATCCATCAACCCCAAGAACAGCCCAAACCCACAGCAGTAACCCAAGTCAGTCCAGCGAGAGCTTTTGTTGATGAGTGCTCCCAGGGGCTTGGATTTGTGACAGAAACTTCTGGTGCTCATTTCACATGCTTTAACCTCCAAATAGGAGGAGAAAACAGTGAGGCGTGAGGGACCGTCTTCTGCCTGTTTCCCAGCCTGTCCGGGCTGATTGCAGTCATTGCTCACACTGAGCTGTGGGACATCACGTGGTTTGATAGTGATGGGATGAGAGACAATGGCTTTAAAGTGAAAAAGAAGAGATGTGGGTGAGCTGTGAGGAAGCAATCCTTTGGTCAGGGCGGTGAGGCGCTGGCGCTGCTGCCCAGAGAGCTGTGGGTGCCCCATCCCTGCAGGCACTCCAGGCCAGGTGGGATGGGGCCCTGGGCAGCCTGAGCTGGTGGGGGGCAGCCCTGCCCACGGCCGGGGGTGGCACTGGGTGGGCTTTGAGCTGAACTCCAACCTGAGCTGTTCTATAATCTCTGACATGGGAGTTGGAAGCACCACTGCTCAGCTCCTGGCTTCCCATTCGTGCGTGCATCCCCAGGAGCACAGGCACAGTGCTGAGCTGGAGCAAAGCCTTGCTGGGTTCTCTTCAGCACCACTGGGGGAACATGAGCATCTCTGTCACTTGAAATATTTACACAAAATAAAGAAATCCAATTGCCACATAATTCAATAGCTCATTTCTATCATCGCTCTGACAGAAAAACAAAACTCAGCTCAGATGTCATGGAGCGCTCTCCAGAAGAGCTTAATTAAATTTATAATGAAAATAACAGGGGATTAAGAAGGCACAAGGGAAATTTATTCCTCTTGCAGAACATTACGGAGGTGATAGAAGCAATTTTCAGAGAAAATTACCTGTTTGCTACTCAGTTTCTATAGAAGTTAAATGAGTCTTTACAAACTCTGGAAAGCTGCATTCCAGCCCCCACTTTCTTTGTGACTGTGCAACTTGCTGCTTGTTATTTCTATAATTAATCGTGGGTCTTCACCTCAAGCCCCCCTCCCCCCGCCCTTTCCTTTCTTCAGATGTGCTTCAGTCTTTTGTCCCTGCTGATAACATGATATAACCATCCATATATCTCTTAAGCAAGAGCTGCCAGCGCTGACAGTGCGTGTCAGCTGTGCCTGCTGTAAGGAGCAGGAACAAGA